CTCACGTGATTTGGTGCACTTCTCGAAGAAAATCCGTTTATTCACAATATAGATCTTGATTATCAATCGGATTGTCTTGACTGGGCGCCGCCATTTTATTTAAAGCAAATGCAAGTGATATGAGAGGTGGAATCTGATTGGTCAAGAGGAGGGGCATAGAAGACACATGACTCGCAATAGCCACGGGTGGCGCTACGAACGAGCCCGGAAATTCCAGCCTAGTTCGGCAAGGGTGGAAACTGGACTTTTATAGTCAGTTAACTCCCTTGCCTCGGGAAGATGCTATAATAACAATGAGCGGTTTATCTCAGTAGGTGATTCAAGCTTGAGTAGCCTAGCTGATGTTACTTTACATGTGTTCCGGTAGAGGACTCTCAATCCACATATAACGAGGTAATCGATCCTGGTAATGTTCACATCGCTTTTGTTGCCAATTAGGGCGTTGAACAATCGGCCTGGCAGAGGATGTCCTCGTACAGGGAGTACTGACAAACAGGTACACGTACGACATGCATTCTCGAGGATACCCGCGTACAATGTGGAGCTAATGGACAATACATAAACAAGGAGGGCTGAGTTACACTTTAATGTCCTCTACCCGGCCCAAGGCGACGAAATTCGACCTGCAGAGTTGCATCCCTTAGGCTGGTCAGAAAGCAATTATCATGTGTTCGAACCCCATATTCGCCAAGATTATGTTTCTTTGTTTGTCAGCACCAACCAGTGGCCGTTGGTTTCACCAAAGTGGTAAACGCATAAGACAAACATCACGTAGGGCTTTCCTTCCACATCAAGCTGACACGCCGTGACATAACTGGAATACTATTGAAACGGCGTGAAGTCCAGCTCACCAAGTCACACTGACCACTTACACCCCTGCCTAGGTCATGGGGCAATAGAGAGGGACTAGCAACTACTGACACCATCTTACAGGATCTCCCTTCAAGTGTCCGGGACTAGTTACTACTGACATCATCTTACATTGTCTCCATTCAAGTAGCCGGGACTAGTTACTACTGACACCGTCTTACAGGATCAACCTTCAAGTGTCGCGGCCAAGTAACTACTACATCATCTTACAGGGTCACACTTCAAGTGTCACGGCCAAGTAACTACTGACACCATCTTACAGGATCACCCTTCAAGTGGCCGGGACTAGTAACTACTGACACCATCTTACAGGATCAATCTTCAAGTAGCCAGGACTAGTAACTACTGACACCATCTTACAGGATCACCCTTTAGGTAGCCAGGACTAGTAACTACTGACACCATCTTACAGGATCACCCTTCAAGTGGCCAGGACTAGTTACTACTGACACCATCTTACAGGATCACCCTTCAAGTGTCACGGCCAAGTAACTGCTGACACCATCTTACAGGATCACCCTTCAAGTGGCCGGGACTAGTAACTACTACATCATCTTACATGGTCTCCATTCAAGTAGCCGGGACTAGTTACTACTGACACCATCTTACAGGATCACCCTTCAAGTAGCCAGGACTAGTAACTGCTGACACCATCTTACAGGATCACCCTTCAAGTGGCAGGGACTAGTAACTACTACATCATCTTACATGGTCTCCATTCAAGTAGCCGGGACTAGTTACTACTGACACCATCTTACAGGATCACCCTTCAAGTAGCCAGGACTAGTAACTACTACATCATCTTACATGGTCTCCATTCAAGTAGCCGGGACTAGTAACTACTGACACCATCTTACAGGATCACCCTTCAAGTAGCCAGGACTAGTAAACACTACATCATCTTACATGGTCTCCATTCAAGTAGCCGGGACTAATAACTACTGACATCATGACTAATAACTACTGACACCATCTTACAGGATCTCCCTTCAAGTAGCCAGGACTAGTAACTACTGACATCATCTTACATGGTCTCCATTCAAGTAGCCGGGACTAGTAACTACTGACACCATCTTACAGGATCACCCTTCAAGTAGCCACGACTAATAACTACTGACATCATGACTAGTAACTACAGACACCATCTTACAGGATCTCCCTTCAAGTGTCACGGCCAAGTAACTACTTACACCATCTTACAGGATCACCCTTCAAGCAGCCACGACTAATAACTACTGACATCATGACTAATAACTACTGACACCATCTTACAGGATCTCCCTTCAAGTAGCCAGGACTAGTAACTACTGACATCATCTTACAGGATCACCCTTCAAGTGGCCGGGACTAGTAACTACTGACACCATCTTACAGGATCTCCCTTCATGTGGCCGCGGCTAGTAACTACTGACACCATCTTACAGGATCACCCTTCCAGTGGCTAGTAACTACTGACACCATTTTACAGGATCACCCCACACGGTACCGAGTCTAGTTTTCGACAAGTAGATTGCCGTGTGTAGCAGAAGGATGTAGATGTTTGTACATTGCGGAGTAAGTGCTGGTAAGATGCAAGCAGGGTGTATCAGCTTTCTTCAAACCAGACGTGCACGGACCTGACAGGCAACGACAGGTCCGCCAATCTCAGCCCCACAATGTATGCATGGAGGGATTACAGGCTGAACATTCCGGCGCTTTGCATGCGGCTATTTGACACCACCTCCTCGTCTTCAAGAGGGTTCACTAACAATCTATTTACCACTTCACTCGAGAACTAATACAACCAAATCCACTGGTGCTCGAAAGGCATTTAAAAAAAGATTGAAATATACTTTCCACGAAAGCTCTAAATATCTCACAGTAATTCGACAGTCGCAGTTCAAGGAATATGAGGCTATCAAGTGACGTAAGGCTATATTAAGATAGAGGACGGCTGTATCAAGATGGAGGACAGCTATATCAAGATGGAGGACGGCTATATCAAGATGGAGGACAGCTATATCAAGATGGAGAACGGCTATATCAGGATGGAGGACAGCTATATCAAGATGGAGGACAGCTATATCAAGATGGAGGACAGCTATATCTTAATGGATACATCTACCTGGGCAGATATATATGATGGTATATACATCTACCTTGGCAGATATATATGGTGGTATATACGTCTGCCTGGGCAGGTATATATGGTGGTGTATACATCTACCGGAGTAGATATATATGGTGGTATATACGTCTATCGGGGCAGGTATATATGGTGGTGTATACGTCTACCGGAGAAGATATATATGGTTGTATATGCGTCTACCTGGGCAGGTATATATGGTGGTGTATTCATCTACCGGAGTAGATATATATGGTGGTATATACGTCTACCTGGGCAGGTATATATGGTGGTATATACGTCTACCTGGGCAGATATATATGGTGGTATATACGTCTACCTGGGCAGGTATATATGGTGGTGTATTCATCTACCGGAGTAGATATATATGGTGGTATACTAGTATACGTCCATCGGGGCAGGTATATATGGTGGTGTATACGTCTATCAGGGCAGATATATATATGTGGTATATACGTCTACCGGGACAGGTATATATGGTGGTATATACGTCTACCAGGTCAGATACACTTTATATATGGTGGTATATACGTCTATCAGGGCAGAGATGTATTGTGGTATATACGTCTACCGGGGCAGGTATATGTGGTGGTATATACGTCTACCAGGTCAGGTATATATTGTGGTATATACGTCTACCAGGTCAGGTATATATTGTGGTTTATACGTCTACCTGGGCAGATATATATGGTGGTATTTACGTCTACCTAGGAAGATATATATGATGGTATATGCGTCTACCTGGGCAGATATATATGATGGTATATACGTCTACCGGAGTAGATATATATGGTGGTATATACGTCTACCGGGACAGATATATATGTTGGTGTATACGTCTAATAGGGCAGATATATATTGTGGATTATACGTCTACCGGGGCAGGTATATATGGTGGTATAGACGTCTACCAAGTGAGGTATATATTGTGGTATATACGTCTATCGGGGCAGGTATATATGGTGGTATATACTTCTATCTAGGCAGATATATATTGTGGTATATACGTCTACCGGGGCAGATATATATGATGATATTTTCGTCTACGAGGGCAGGTATATATGGTGGTATATACGTCTATTAGGGCAGGTATATATGGTGGTGTATACGTCTACGAGGGCATGTATAATATGTGGTGTATACGTCTACGAGGGCAGGTACATATGGTGGTGTATACGTCTACGAGGGCAGGTATATATGGTGGTATATACGTCTACGAGGGCAGGTATATATTGTGGTGTATACGTCTACCGGGGCAGGTATATATGGTGGTGTATACGTCTACCGGGGCAGGTATATATTGTGGTGTATACGTCTACCTGGACAGGTATATATGGTGGTATATACGTTTACCGGGGCAGATATATATGATGGTATTTTCGTCTACGAGGGCAGGTATATACATGTATGGTGGTATATACGTCTATCAGGGCAGGTATATATGGTGGTATATACGTCTACCGGGGCAGATATATATGATGGTATTTACGTCTATCAGGGCAGGTTTATATGGTGGTAAATACGTCTATCAGGGCAGGTATATATGGTGGCATATACGTCTACGAGGGCAGGTATATATTGTGGTGTATACGTCTACGAGGGCAGGTATATATTGTGGTATATACGTCTACCGGGGCAGATATATATGATGGTATTTACGTCTATCAGGGCAGGTATATATGGTGGTAAATACGTCTATCAGGGCAGGTATATATGGTTGTGTATTCATCTACCGGAGTAGATATATATGGTGGTGTATACGTCTACGAGGGCAGGTATATATGGTGGTGTATACGTCTACGAGGGCAGGTACATATGGTGGTGTATACGTCTACGAGGGCAGGTATATATGGTGGTGTATACGTCTACCGGGACAGGTATATATTGTGGTGTATACGTCTATTAGGGCAGGTATATAAGGTGGTGTATACGTCTACGAGGGCAGGTATATATTGTGGTGTTTACGTCTACGAGGGCAGGTATATAAGGTGGTATATACGTTTACCTGGGCAGCATCTGGTGCAGGAGCTCTTCAGTCTTCTTCTTCTCTTCTATAAGCTGGTCAGTCCTCTCCTCCACAAGTGCTTCCAAATTATCTGCATATTTCTCCATAATTGCAAGCATGTTGTCGAAGATATTGGATTTCCTGAAATTTACAAACAAGCAATTAGATGTGAAACCAACAGTTTAGCGTTATGTTTCATAAACCCTCCTATTTGAGGGATCGGGAAATTGCTTCAAGCAGGAGCTCCCAGCTGGGACAACAGTGACGTCATTACAATCTGATTTCTGCCGCATTTCATTTTTTAAAACTAACTGAGCTGTGGACATATAGGAGTGGGAAACCGAGGCAATTGTCCCTGCAGATTCAGTAGCATGTGGAAAACCCTAATGGAAAGTCACACTATTAAATGCCAAAGTGGAGAACAGAATCGATCAGTTCTTCTGATAGGAATTCTTTGACAAGTTTACAGTTAACAATACCCCTTAACCAAGTTGTGTGAGAGCAATGTTGGTGGTGTGTGGTTAGCTGAAAGGTATTTACTGTGTCATATAGGGAACATTACATTAGTAGCTACAGATAGCACCGATGGGTCTTGTGACGATTTCACACCAGACGTCCTACATGCGCATTGCTATCAATAGTGTTGGAATTAAGCGAAACACGAACGACAAATCGCCCTAAAGGGTTTGTGTAAAAAATGTGTGAAGTAAATATGACACTTTCAAAGCGTTTTCTCGGTTGTAGAGGAAATCCCTGCGTTGGAGCGGTGCTTGATTTTTTTCATCTCCGTTAAACACACAGGCAGACAGACACGCACGCACGCACGCACGCACGCACGCACGCACGCACGCACGCACGCACGCACGCACTGTGATTGTAAAATGAACATGTACCATGCGTCTCCCAAAACATAACTATAATAACCACACAAAATAACATAACACTAAAATTAATTCAATGCAACTATATGTGTAATTTGACCCTAAAATCCAAAACACAGTGCGCCCCTAAACCTAATACTTACATCCCTTTCTGCATGGGCTTGAGTTTCGACCTGATGACCTTGAAGTCCGGGCGTTTAAAGGGGTCCTCATCCCAGCACTCCTTGATGAGGTCTGTGATGAACTTGTGGGTCTGGCCCAGCTGGGATAGATGGGGCCGGAAGGGGACACCACTGTAACTAAACTTAACCCTCTCGATAATTTCTGAAGAAAGAAAGGAAATATCCAAACACTTGACTTCACGGAGTGAGATGCGGGAGACGACACAATGAATACATAATAAACGCCGACATTGATGCATCCAGCGCTCACTTGTTTACTTAGAGTAATTGAAAAGGACAACGAATTTTCTGTTTTTTTAATTCTTCACAAAGCAGTCTCTTCGATGTTTAAGTGTTGTCTATAATTGTATTTCATTGTGCAACTGTCTAGTGAAGTGTCTCTTGAAGCCATCTCATATCAGGGGCATTACGTGGATGAACAAACGATTTAAATAGAGTTTAACGACTTCCGAGATGTTCTGTTTTATCGATTGCAGAACAGCCTCGGGGAGAATGGGAACCGAAGTGCGGCCTGTCATTCCAGCCCTGTGTGGCGCACCAAGGATACATGTGATACTTCTCAGGACATAGTTATAGGACTTCATCAGGTGCTTGTTAACAACCATCATCTTGTATTAACACACAACACACATATATACTTTCAGATTTCCATGTTGCAAGAGGCACAAAAGTACTAAAATTGCTTTCGCCGCACCTTTGTTGCACATGTGATTGCACAGTAAAAACAGTAGTAAGATTACTCTTTTCCAGCACGATGCAATCATATGCCATCGTAGTCCAAGATGCTTTTTTTCTCATGAAACCGTGGCCCATCTAGTGTTGACCGTGTGGTCTCTACGAACTTGTGACGCTACATGGAGATATATTGTTGCGCCAAATGGAGACATATTGCGGCGCTACATGGTAATATATTTTGGCCCTAGCTACATGGAGACCTATTGTGGCCCTACATGGAGATATATTGTGGCCCTACATGGAGATATATTGTGGCCCTACATGGAGATATATTGTGGCGCTACATGTCGATATATTGTGGCCCTACATGGAGATATATTGTTACTAATACCTATATTTACAATGGTTCCTACTTTTTGATAACAGATAGGGTGCTGAAAGTAATTATGTTCTATACTTAGTGTTTATCTATTAGCTATTGTTTCACAATGTAATGGCAGACATGCCTCCTGAATACAGGTCTGCCACATTGGCAGTTAGTTGAGTTTGCATCTTAGAATGTTAATAATAACTTTGGTAAGGCACCGACCATTACATGGAGGGGGGAAGGGGGAAAAGGGGCGGGGTTCCTGGGATTAGATTTTTTTTTCAGTTACCGCTACAAAACCAGATATATATTTGGTATTTACAACTACGAGCCTATTTTTGTGGCAGGCATTTTCTTTTTTAAACAGTCTGAAGCATATTAATTATTTTTTCCAAGAATGTTTAGGGCCAAATGTTTTTCTTCGATAAAATCCCATCAAGTTTTTCAAAGACTCACAGCCGACTGACATGCATCAATATAAAACAGATGTTGAGCATACAGGTTCTATTGCCCACGTCGGATCCCCTTGCTGGCCCCCGCGAGGGATGCGATATTGTTATAAAGAAGTTAACTTATTCATCTCCTTTTAGTTGACTCACCTTGAGGGGACAAGTCTATGTTCCCGAAGGGTCCCTTCCGACCGAATATTTCAAACATTATAATGGCAAAGGAGTATACGTCCCCTTCTTGCGAACCCCGACAGGGGGCGCGCTTGTTCCGCAGAAGTTCCGGGGCTCGCCACAGCTGATCTGCATCAGGACAGAGATCTTGGTCAGGGAACGTGCATGTCATGTTGATATCAGGATTAATGCAAAAAAATATCTTCAGAACAATCCTGACTTAGCTTTTTTAAATTAACATGTACATGTACGTTTGACAATGTACCTTTTTTCTGATTCCGATTTTTTTACAAAAATATAATGACATCGCGATCGGTCTCCGGTTTGTTTCATGCTCAAAGCCGTACTCATCAATATTCAAGCTATATGACGGCGGTCTGTAAATAATCGAGTCGCGACCAGACAATCCAGTGATTGACATCATGAGCATCCATACGGACAATTGGAATACGATGATATGCATCAACCAAGTCAATAAGCGAGACCACCCGATCCCGTTACTCGCCTCATTCGACAAGCACAGTCGCTTTTTACGGTAAGAATGGGTTGCTGAAGATTTATTCTACCCCGGATCTTCACTGGTCGATAGTTGGTGGAGCACCAAGTAACTGACGGTCAAAGGAAACTGTACCATAGTTTTAAATCACTCTAGTTTAAAAAAAACAAAAACAGATAGATGCGTGAAGTAAAATGTATTGAAATGAACATTTAAAATGACAGCCACACAGCATCCGATATTATCATGACAGTAAGCCGAATTGAGGTGGGGTAGCAAAAACAAGCTTCCATAGCAATGGACAAAGGGCACAAACTAAAAACGCCCTCAAGTTAAATGACACGTCACATTAATAGCGTGTATGACCACCCCATACTACAAGACACGCAAAAACTCTCTTGAAGGGCCTAGATCAGTTCGTGTCGGTTGTCAAACACGACTATCCATGAAATTCCAGAAGTGTTCTAAGGGCCACGGCAACACGTTGCAAGGAAGTTCTGTACAATGCGGGCTGTACGGGGTCTCGCGCTGTCATGCTGATAAAGGACACCACGAGGCAGCTGTTGTAGACATGGTAGGACAATATATAAAGATAACCGGTTGTGTTCTCTCCTACCCACAAATGCCTCCCCACACCACAACACACCCTCCACCATACGGCACGACATCCTGAATGCAACATGCCGCCGTTCGTTCTCCCCTTCGGCGATAGTGCCGTCTCCCATCAACTCTGAACGGACAGAACCGGCTTTCATCAGTAAAGACGACCCTCTGCCAAAGACGTACAGTCTGGGTCCATCTCGGTCTTGGACGACGATGTTGCGCTGTCAATAACTGTTCTGTATAAGGTATGTAAGCCCTAACAAAGACATTCGTCGCTGATGATGTCACTGTCAGGAATTGATTCCAGAAATGCGCAAGTACCGGTCTTCATTGGGCGTAGGTACCCTGATTCTGCCTGTTCTTGGCCTTTCTGTTGTCTGTCTGTAATGTTGCATCAGGTTAGTTACAGCAACACTGCAGCAACCAAACGTTGGGCATGTGGGCATGGGTTCCTTCCATCTCAGGGCACGTTCGCGTTTTACCGGTGTCATTTGTGGCATTTCTGTGGTGTTCTTTTCATCGGCTATCGCACTGATTTAGTTTGAACTTGTGTTTTTAAAGTTTTGCAATTTCCATTTTTAAAGTGGTAAAGTTGAATATGATATGACAATGAAAAGTGAGTGAGTATGGTTTTACGCCGCTTTTAGCAATATTCCAGCAATATCACGGCGGGAGACACCACAAATGGGCTTCACACATTGTACCCATGTCGGGAATCGAACCCGGGTCTTCGGCGTGACGAGCGAACGCTTTAACCACTAGGCTACCCGACCGCCCCGACAATGAATAAGTTATCCTCTCCTCTCGTCCCTCAATTCTGCGATCTTTGAATCTTTAGACAAGAAAAGCACGTGCTGAGACGTCCTGTTAACAGCCCAAGCCATCATACGCATGCGTCCTGGTATGATCCGCTTGCAGTGTCTGTTCTTTGACAGTTGTGGTAACATGTGCTATATCCGTTGGCGGTGTCTTCATTGCACAGTAATTTATAGCTGGCTATATGATACTGTTATACAGAACTGTAATCAATTTTACTAATATAGTACAAACCTTTCACTGGTGTGTGCTGTTGCATTTTCGTATTTGCAGAAAAATCAATAAACATTTATAGCGATTGTAGTTACGTAATAGTCTCAGCTTGCCTGGGATGTGAGCCCACATGTGTCTCTGGCTTTGAAATAGTGGAAATGTAATGGCCGAGGAATTGAACTGTCAATAACTTTAGGAACAGAGAAGGGGATGATGAATGATAGAGACGCAGTTTCCATTTTTATTATAATGGGATACCTCAGCTGATAATCACCCGTCTGCCTTAGTCCTTAACTTTTAACACCGTACTGGGTTTAACATCAAACCAGGATGTGTGCATCACACTATGCGTGTTTTCACAGAGCAAGACGACAAAACGTTTACAAAATTACATGGATAAATCTGACAAAAAATGCAGTTGTTCTTTTTATAATTGTTTCTGACATTGTAAACATGATTAAGCGCACATCTGTGTCAACTGCTTGTCTCACAATGCCTTAGAGGGCCCACAGATCAGTTATAATCAGTTACATCGCCCCAGGCTTGTCGCAAGAGGCGACTAACGGTATCGGGTTGTCAGGCTCGCTGATTTGGTTGATGCATGTCATCGTATCCCAATTCCGGTGATCGATGCTCATGATGTCAATCACTGGATTGCCTGGTCTAGACTCGATTATTTACGGACCGCCGTCATATAGGTGGAATATTGCAGAGTGCGGCGTAAAACAAAAAAACAACACACAAACAAACAAACAACTAATCTCCTGTTGTACTTACTCCTGTAGAAGGCGTAGTCGCCCATGTCGTCCTCAGCCCCAGAGACAAACTCGTGCAGACCGAAGTCTGTGATCTTCAGCACCCAGCGACTGTCAACCACACAGTTGGACGATTTGAGCTTGCCGTGACTCTTCATCTCACTGTCGTGCAGGTAGATCATGCCCTGCCACAAACATAACACGTGTATGAAGAGGGAATGCAAGAAACGTGTCGGTCAGGTCGATAGAAGGGGAATACAGGACACGTATCAGTCAGGGCAATAGAAGGGGAATACAGGACACGTGTCAGTCAGGGCGATAGAAGGGGATACCGGACACGTGTCAGTCAGGGCGATAGAAGGGGATACAGGACACGTGTCAGTCAGGGCGATAGAAGGGGGATACAGGACACGTGCCAGTCAGGTCGATAGAAGGGGGATACAGAACACGTGTCAGTCAGGTCGATAGAAGGGGGAATGCAGGACATGTTACAAGGTCTGTGACCCCCTGTATTTAGGATCCCAGCAGCGTTATTGTGACACTTACAGTTCAATCAGTTTCTTCCTCTCCCTGACCGAATATCTTCGAGTCGGTGTTTCTGTCACAGGTTCAATTTCAGTCTCTGGAGACCTTGTCACAGGTGGAACACTCTCCTTCCCGACATCCCAAGGAAATGACTCCTTTGTACTTGCAACTTGAGTCTTCTCTACCCCAGACATATCAGGGATTGTTATGTCCTCTTTAGTGGATGTTACTGATAGATCAGGCGTTCCTGGCATAGTTATTAGCTGATCAAAATGGCACTTCCACTCAAAGTTCTCTACCTGAACATTGTAAGTCACAGGACCTAAGGCTTTTTGTTCAACCCCCTGGAGCCATTCTTTGGTACGACCCCAGTAGCCCCTCACCAGAACTGGGTCACCGACTTCGAAACGCCTCCCAACATCCACTTTCGGAGACACTCTTCTTTGAATTGTAGAAGCACAGGCAAAGGATACTGAGACACCTCCAAGTCTCTGTTCTCTGTCAGCATATAATCCCCTCATATCCTAACAGCAACTGAAGGTTTGAGTGTCGGTACAATAGGAGCAGCCCATTCAGAGTATTCCACTTTCTCAATGACCCCAGTCTTCTCTAGTCTATCCAATTCCTCAGCTACCTTATCCTGTAGTGCATATGGAACAGTTCTTTTTTTGTAGAACTTTGGGTTTGCTCCGGGTTTTACAGACAGATGAAGCTTGACACCCTTCACAGTTCCCAAACTGCCATCAAATAGGGCTGAATACTTTGATAACAACTGTTCAAAGTCCTTCTGGGAATTGTCAACTCGCACTCGTCAACTCGTCAACTCGTATTGACTCTGCCAATGGAATACCAGTCAAGCTGTATCGGAGATAGCCAATATCTGCCTAGGAGCGCCGATCCACTTCCGGTCACAGCATATACAGGTAAATTGATAGACTTTTCATTATAGTTAACATCCACCTGTATTTCTCCCCAAACAGGTAACCTTTCTACAGTGTAAGTCCCCAGGTAAGGCAAGTTGGCGGTTTTCAGCGGAATATCCCTGATGTATGGGCCTTCTTCTCCTGTGGCTTTTCATGACACCTCCTGCTTATGTGTCCTTGCTTATGACAGATATGACACAAGTTTTTCATGTAAAAGCAATTGTCACTGTTGTATTTTTCCTTTCCACAGCGCCAACATTCACGGTTATCCCGTGACATCGGTCCAGCTTGCTTGTCTGAATACTTCCGGTTCTTATCAGACTTCACTAGTACATTCACTTATTCGCAGCTTCCATACTCAAAGATATTTCCATCAAATCTTTCTCAGCAAACAGTCTACGCTGCATAGCTGCTGAAGCGAGTTCACACACAAACATGTCTCTCATTGCATCATAAGAAATCCACCAAAATCGCAATGTTCACCCAGTTTGCGAAGTTCAGCCATAAATGCACTTACTGATTCACCAGAGAGGTTTTTTTCGCTCATAAAACTTGAATCTTTTAGCGATGACAAATGGTTTGGAATTCACATGGCTTTTAACGACATCCACCAATTCTGCATATGGCATGTCAGCGGGTTTTGCCGGAGAAACTCTCATGAGAGAGTGGTTTCCTTACCTACTACGGTAAGCAATATCATTAGTTTCCGCTACACGGCATCTTCAACATCGTTAGAAATGAAATACTGATTAAGTCTTCGAGTGTACTCAATCCAGTATGCATTTTCAGACACTGAAAATTCCTCCATTCGACCATATGACGAGGACGCCATTTTGAACAGCACAGCGCACACTACAACAAACGCTATCAGTCCCATTACACAGAGCGAATGTTCGTCACCAACTTACAGATTGGTCTTCTTGGTACCACAAATGTAGAATCCCATCCTCGTCGCCAAAATTGTAGTGTTCTCTCAATATCCAAAGACAACCTCTAAACTTCCCACTTCCTTCATTCATCAGACGACAAGTGACAATCAGTATCCAAGCCCGAGCACGTATTGCACGTGCGTTGCGTAAAAAAGTTTTGCAAACCGCTAATAATATTACATGTACGACTTCTGTTTACCAACAGAATTCATCAAAACAAAACCTAATATTTTATACGTTTCAGGCAGGTCGTTAGACAGGGGATACAGAACAGTGTCAGTCAGTTCGTTAGAAGGGGGAATACTGGACACGTGTCAGTCAGGTCGTTAGAAGTGGGATACAGAACAGTGTCAGTTAGGTCGATAGAAGGGGAATACAGGACACGTGTCAGTCAGGGCGATAGAAGAGGATACAGGACACGTGTCAATCAGGGCGATAGAAGGGGGATACAGGACACGTGCCAGTCAGGGCGATAGAAGGGGGATACAGGACACGTGTCTGTCAGGTCGATAGGAGGGGGAATACTGGACACGTGTCAGTCAGTTCGATAGAAGGAGGAATACTGGACACGTGTCAGTCAGGTCGATAGAAGGGGGGATACTGGACACGTGCCAGTCAGGTCGATAGGAAGGGGAATACTGGACACGTGTCAGTCAGGTCGATAGAAAGGGGAATACAGGACCCGTGTCAGTCAGGTCGATAGAAAGGGGAATACAGGACACGTGTCTGTCAGGTCGATAGAAAGGGGAATAAAGGACATGTGTCAGTCAGGTCGATAGGAGGGGGAATACTGGACACGTGTCAGTGAGTTAGCATATGCTATGTAAGGGTTGATGTTATCACATGCTATGTACCAGTTGTTGAAATGAACATATCTTCCAGAAACAAAACAGTTGTTAAATGATGTTAATAAAAATATAATAAAATGGAGCCCAGATGCTCTCTTCATTTTCAGATACTGCAGTAATCTTGCTAAACATTACATGAGATGTTATCATGCTGTGTGCCAGGTGATATTATCAAGGGATGTTATCATGCTATATCAGATGATATTATCAGGGGATGTTATCATGCTATGTACAAAATGATATTATCAGGGGATGTTGTCATGCTGTGTACGAGATGATATTATCAGGGGATGTTGTCATGCTATATACCAGTCGATTTTATCAGGTGATGTTATCATTCTGTGTACGAAATGATATTATCAGGGGACGTTATCATGCTGTGTACGAAATGATATTATCAGGGGATATTATCATTATGTGTACGAGATGATATTATCAGGGGATATTATCATTCTGTGTACGAGATGATATTATCAGGGGACGTTATCATGCTGTGTACAAAATGATATTATCAGGAAATGTTGTCATGCTGTGTACGAGATGATATTATCAGGGGATGTTGTCATGCTATATACCAGTCGATTTTATCAGGGGATGTTATCATTCTGTGTACGAAATGATATTATCAGGGGATGTTGTCATGCTATATCAGATGATATTATCAGGGGATGTTATCATGCTATGTACAAAATGATATTATCAGGGGATGTTGTCATGATGTGTACGAGATGATATTATCAGGGGATGTTGTCATGCTATATACCAGTCGATTTTATCAGGGGATGTTATCATTCTGTGTACGAAATGATATTATCAGGGGACGTTATCATGCTGTGTACGAAATGATATTATCAGGGGATATTATCATTATGTGTACGAGATGATATTATCAGGGGATATTATCATTCTGTGTACGAGATGATATTATCAGGGGACGTTATCATGCTGTGTACAAAATGATATTATCAGGGGATGTTGTCATGCTGTGTACGAGATGGTATTATCAGGGGATGTTGTCATGCTATATACCAGTCGATTTTATCAGGGGATGTTATCATTCTGTGTACGAAATGATATTATCAGGGGATGTTATCATTCTGTGTACGAGATGATATTATCAGGGGATGTTATCATGCTGTGTACGAAATGATATTATCAGGGGATGTTATAATGCTGTGTACGAAATGATATTATCAGGGGATGTTATCATGCTATGTACGAAGTGAAATTATCAGGGGATGTTATCATGCTGTGTACGAAATGATATTATCAGGGGATGTTATAATGCTGTGTACGAAATGATATTATCAGGGGATGTTATCATGCTATGTACGAAGTGAAATTATCAGGGGATGTTATCATGCTGTGTACCAGGTGATATTATCAAGGGATATTATTATGCTATATCTGATGATATTATCAGGGGATGTAATCATGTTGTGTACGAAATGATATCATCAGGGGATGTTATCATGCTGTGTACGAAATGATATTATCAGGGGATGTTGTCATGCTATGTACGAAGTGATATTATCAGGGGATGTTATCATGCTGTGTACCAGGTGATATTATCAAGGGATATTATTATGCTATATCAGATGATATTATCAGGGGATGTAATCATGTTGTGTACGAAATGATATCATCAGGGGATGTTATCATGCTGTGTACGAGATGATATTATCAGGAGATGTTATCATGCTGTGTACGAAATGATATCATCAGGGGATGTTATCATGCTGTGTACGAAATGATATCATCAGGGGATGTTATCATGCTGTGTACGAAATGATATCATCAGGGGATGTTATCATGCTGTGTACGAGATGATATTATCAGGGGATGTTATCATGCTGTGTACGAGATGATATTATCAGGAGATGTTATACTGTTATGTAACCTCCCACATGTGTGACACAAGTATACAGTGTGCCTCTAAGTGTCTCCTGTCTTTATCTTGACATGGGCACGGCCACGTTGGCAGGCATCGTCTAGCACAAGGTGGCAATGTGACAAAGCCAGCATTGATAACTGACATTAAAGTTGACCCACTCTCCCCGAGATGCACAAGTGCAGCATTAACGTCACATCGCCATGATAGCCCATCGGCCCTACCCATTAACGAGTGACGTTGTCCACGTCCTAGCCTTGAAGATGACACAGGAAGGAGAAATGGGCCCATGCCAATGTTTGTATAAAGAATTCAGTCATACACAAATGTCGCATATATTTCATCTGTCTGATGTGGTGTGGAGATGTGGAATTTACTGTCGAAGAGTGGAGTGGCGGAAGAGTGGTGTGTGGAGCTGTGGAAGAGTGGTGTGTGGAGCTGTGGAGGAGTAGTGTGTGGAGTGGCGGAAGAGTGGTGTGTGGAGCTGTGGAAGAGAGGAGGTGTGGAGTTTTTAAGGAGTAGTGTGTGGAGTTGTGGAAGAGTGGTGTGTGGAGCTCTGGAAGAGCGGAGTTGTGGAGTTGTGAGGAGTAGTGTGTGGAGTTGTGAAAGAGTGGTGTGTGGAGCTGTGGAAGAGTGGTGCGAGGAGATGTGGAGGAGTGGTGTGTGGTGTCGTGTAGGCGTGGAGGAGTAGTGTGTGGAGGTGTGGTGTGTGGAGTTGTGGAAGAGTAGTGTGTGAAGACATGGAGGATTGGTGTGTGGAGTTGTGGAGTAGAGGAGTAGTATGTGAAGACATTGACGTGCGATGTGTGTAGTGTGAGGAGATGTGGAGTTAAGATTGATAGAGTTGAGAGGTAAAATGTGACTTTTTATCAAGTGCTGGCATCTGCTAATTGGTTGTTGTGCCTAGAGTCATATAGCACAACATGAGATACTCCCCTCTGACGACACCAAGTAGGATTGAGTGGAGGACACACTCACCCTTACGGACCAGGAAGGAATAAATGCAGGGGATATTCACCCTGACGAAGCAAGAAGGAATAAATGGAGGGGATATTCACCCTGACGAACCAAGAAGGAATATATGGAGGAGATATTCCACCTTACGAACCTGGAAGGAATAAATGCAGGGGATATTCATCCTGACGAAGCAAGAAGGAAAAAATGGAGGAGATATTCCACCTTACGAACCTGGAAGGAATAAATGCAGGGGATATTCACCCTTACGAACCAGGAAGGAATAAAGGGAGGAGATATTCCCCCTTACGAACCTGGAAGGAATAAATGGAGGAGATATTCACCCTGACGAACCAAGAAGGAATAAATGGAGGAGATATTCCACCTTACCAACCAAGTAGGATTAAATGGAGGAGATATTCACCCTGACGAGACCAGAAAGGAGTGAATGGAGGAGATACTCACCCTGACAACATCAAATGCGAGGGAGGCTATTAACATGGCGTCTAGCTGCATGTCGTCATTCTCCAGGATGTCCTGAAACAGCCACAATGAATGCAATAACGATTGATTGGGTGTGTGAGCGACTAGTGTTTAAAATCGTGTTGAGCAGTATTTCAGCTAGATGAATGTGGGAGGGGGAAAACGTCTTGGTAAACGTCGCGGACACGGGATAAACGGTCATAATCATAGTCTGAGATTCAAAGTAACGGGAGCACTGCCCCCAGACTTAAAAGAGGCAATGTTATGCTTCATCAAGCTACCACCTAGTTCATATCTTTCATTATAAAATATACCAATGTATCAGTTCGTTTAGCAATACCGTTTTCCTCTAATTTACACATCGTTTCTCACTTTTGATAACACGTGATAAACACGTTCTGTTTACCATCGGTCTTCAGGAATAAATAGATTCATGAGAGAACCGCCGTTTGCAAGACACCAGGTGTCTCCTCCCTCACCGGGTGTCTCCTCCCCCGCCGGGAGAGCACTCGCAGTATAGATTATTGTGGTCGAACCCGGCAGTAAACCAAATGGTGTTTCTACATAAAAACTACTGAAACGGATTTCTGCTCACTTTAACCGACGTATAACTTGAAATCTAGCGAAATAAAAAGCAGTCGGTGCATCAGCTACTTGTTCAACTGATATGAGCTGGATTTCTCTACATTCACCCGGTGGCAATGTTGGGACTGGTTCAATATTTAAGGAATTGTGAATCGATGTAATTGATAACATCAAAAACGTGGAATACAAGGCTTGGAGAATATGAACGGAGGCACGGAGACACTTGTGGCTTGTGGGACTCACTTGTAAACTCCCCCGGGCGCAATACGCCGTGATGACGAGGATGTTGGGGGAGTCAATGCAGGCCCCGATGAAGGGGTTCATGTTGTCGTGCCGCAGCTCGCGAATCTATAAAGGAGATTAAAACATAGGATGACAACTTCATCAGTGTCCTTGCCCAATCAACATTTCACTGGCCAATCAACTGGTGTAGTCAGCGGTGGGTCTCAACTGCCAGTGGCCAGCCTCTCTCCCGCTGTCATTTTGTGATAAATCTTAAAGTGTCAGGATTCCGAAATGTTTCCCAGATTACTCTGCATACAGATATGTTTCTTAAACCTCTGGAGGGTCAGTGATAAGCTAACATCTCTAGTCAATCGCCAATCGCTGTCTGTGTATTGGAGCTAAATCTAGGCTAGGGGAGCACAATGGCGGGACATGACATATTGTGTGACAGTTCCCCCAAGCGTTGACAAGTCTCGATGTCACCGGCCGCACCACCCCCTGCCTCCACAGCACTGTTGAGAGAGGAGATGCTACAGGCAAGTTGATGGTGTCACCACATCAGCCGCTGTCACTGGGGCTGACAGGGGTAGTTTAACGCGACAGTAACGATACATTACTCCGCTGCAGTCGACCCTCGCCTGAGGTGGCACGCTCTCGCACCACACACCATTTAACTCACAATTTTTAATTCCTTCCGTATATTCCTTGTTAACTCCACGTGTTTTTTGTTGATCTTCCTAATGGCGACGATGGTGCCACGATATGAGCCGACGTGCGTAAATAGCTGCCGAGTGTCGAAGTCGGCCTGCGACGTCAGAGATATTTGACTGCCGCTCTTACATAAGGGGTTGCACTGAAAGATAGAGACGTATATGTCATTGCACAGAGAGAAGGAGAGAGAGAGAGAGAGAGAGAGGGAGAGAGAGAGAGAGGAGAGGGAGAGAGAGGAGAGAGAGAGGGAGAGAGAGAGAGAGAGACGTATGTGTCATTGCACAAAGATAAAGGGACACATGTGTGATGATCAGAGACAGGGACAATTTAGGGAAACGGGGAGCTAGAGAGAGAGGGAGAGAGAGAGAGAGAGAGAGAGAGAGAGAGCGAGAGAGAGAGAGAGAGAGAGAGAGAGAGAGAGAGGGAGAGAGAGAGAGGAGAGAGAGAGTGACGTATGTGTCATTGCACAAAGATAAAGGGACACGTGTGATGATCAGACAGGGACAATTTAGGGAAACGGGGAGCTAGAGAGAGAGAGAGAGATAGAGGGACGAATGTGTCATAATAGGGAAAGAAGATATCAGATACAAAACTATCGCATTGCACCAGAGACATAAGGGATATGACATCGCCCTGAGAAAGAGCAAATCTCATTCAATAAAAGTAACAGAAGTTGAAGTACCACTGACTTGACACACACACGTGACATCTTTTAATTCTTGCAAAGGGCGTAATCTGCCGGTAGCGGACATGGCGGATCATTAACGAGGCCGAAGGTGTCTGTCTGTGTAGCGGTGTGGTGTAAAGACCCCTCACCTTGCTCCGCTGACCCCCATGGGGCTGGTACATGTTGTCCCCAAACTGTAGATCCTTGAAGTCGATCTTCCACAGCAGACTGGCCAGTTCTTGTTCATAGGACCAGTTACTGAAGACACATATGGATATTTGCAAAAGGTGTTTCCATCTTTATAAATATAAATCATTTAAGTTTTCTGAAATAAAGTAGAGAGAGGGCATTATTTCCCCTGTCGCACCAAGACACTTGTTTGACCTTCAAATTGCAGCGGTATCTGTTATGACAATAAAGACACTTGTTTGACCTTCTAATTGCAGCGGGTTATGTTATGACAATATAGACACTTGTTTGACCTTCTAATTGCAGCGGGTTATGTTATGACAATATAGACACTTGTTTGACCTTCTAATTGCAGCGGGTTATGTTATGACAATACAGACACTTGTCAAAGTCAAAGTCAAAGATATTTATTGCATGTAAGGCCTCCGGCCCATATACAAAAGAGTCACAAATGAGTAGGTTACATATTTGGATATATACTCATGTTTAACAATTTGTCTCTGAGGGAAATTGCATTTTTAAGATTTATAGCCTCATCATTTGAAGAAAGAAGAGAAATAATAGCAGGTGCAGGATAATTTGACAGATAGCGTTCTGGTATTAACTTTCTTCTTAGGTCACAATAATAAGGACAGACAAAAGTGAAATGAATTTTTTTTCCTATAGCTGAATGACAGAATGGGCACAGCATATTCGACTTTTCAGTGGACATTTTTCTTCCTTCATTTATCATTAGATCTAACAATCAAAGCCTAAATTGAATAAATGGACGTCGAAGGGTTCTTGATGTTAATGTACAGAAGTATTTTTCTGGTTGAATAAAACTCTTAAACGTTCTGTAAAGTCGGCGTTCAAACATTCAAAGAATATTAAACCTGTATTTCAAGCATCTAATTTGGGAGTTGATATATAACGGGTATCTGTCAATTGGGTTTTGATGGACCAACGGATAAGAATTTTTTACAGGCTAAAAGATGTAGCTTTTCAAGACAATCGTATCGCTGAAATCACCATACTTCTGATCCACATAACAGAATTGGTTGAATTTGGGCATCATATAATTTAGAAAATATATTCGGTGTAAAATCTACTTTCTGCGAAACAGACATTACATTGATTAAGGCCTTCTTTGCACGTGATGTTAAGACCGAGACACTTTTCTTGAAGTTCCTTGTATGGGTAAACATTACATCAAGATATGCATAATGGCTCCGAACATTAACACATTTACCATAAAAACCCATCTTTCATTCAATGACACCTGACCCCCTCTTCTGAAAATGACAATATGTGTTTTATCATAGTTAACTGATAGTTTCCACTCTTTGGAGTAACATTCGGTATATGTAATGACAATATAGACACTTGTTTGACCTTCTAATTGCAGCGGTATATGTAATGACAATATAGACACTTGTTTGACCTTCTAATTGCAGCGGGTTATGTTATGACAATATAGACACTTGTTTGACCTTCTAATTGCAGCGGGTTATGTTATGACAATATAGACACTTGTTTGACCTTCTAATTGCAGCGGGTTATGTTATGACAATACAGACACTTGTCAAAGTCAAAGTCAAAGATATTTATTGCATGTAAGGCCTCCGGCCCATATACAAAAGAGTCACAAATAAGTAGGTTACATATTTGGATATATACTCATGTTTAACAATTTGTCTCTGAGGGAAATTGCATTTTTAAGATATATAGCCTCATCATTTGAAGAAAGAAGAGAAATAATAGCAGGTACAGGATAATTTGACAGATAGCGTTCTGGTATTAACTTTCTTCTTAGGTCACAATAATAAGGACAGACAAAAGTGAAATGAATTTTTTTTTCTATAGCTGAATGACAGAATGGGCACAGCATATTCGACTTTTTAGTGGACATTTTTCTTCCTTCATTTATCATTAGATCTAACAATCAAAGCCTAAATTGAATAAATGGACGTCGAAGGGTTCTTGATGTTAATGTACAGAAGTATTTTTCTGGTTGAATAAAACTCTTAAACGTTCTGTAAAGTCGGCGTTCAAACATTCAAAGAATATTAAACCTGTATTTCAAGCATCTAATTTGGGAGTTGATATATAACGGGTATCTGTCAATTGGGTTTTGATGGACCAACGGATAAGAATTTTTTACAGGCTAAAAGATGTAGCTTTTCAAGACAATCGTATCGCTGAAATCACCATACTTCTGATCCACATAACAGAATTGGTTGAATTTGGGCATCATATAATTTAGAAAATATATTCGGTGTAAAATCTACTTTCTGCGAAACAGACATTACATTGATTAAGGCCTTCTTTGCACGTGATGTTAAGACCGAGACACTTTTCTTGAAGTTCCTTGTATGGGTAAACATTACACCAAGATATGCATAATGGCTCCGAACATTAACACATTTACCATAAAAACCCATCTTTCATTCAATGACACCTGACCCCCTCTTCTGAAAATGACAATATGTGTTTTATCATAGTTAACTGATAGTTTCCACTCTTTGGAGTAACATTCGGTATATGTAATGACAATATAGACACTTGTTTGACCTTCAAATTGCAGCGGTATATGTAATGACAATATAGACACTTGTTTGACCTTCTAATTGCAGCGGGTTATGTTATGACAATATAGACACTTGTTTGACCTTCTAATTGCAGCGGGTTATGTTATGACAATATAGACACTTGTTTGACCTAATTGCAGCGGGTTATGTTATGACAATATAGACACTTGTTTGATCTTCTAATTGCAGCGGGTTATGTTATGACAATATAGACACTTGTTTGACCTTCTAATTGCAGCGGGTTATGTTATGACAATATAGACACTTGTTTGATCTTCTAATTGCAGCGGGTTATGTTATGACAATATAGACACTTGTTTGACCTTCTAATTTCAGCGGGTTATGTTATGACAATATAGACACTTGTTTGATCTTCTAATTGCAGCGGGTTATGTTATGACAATATAGACACTTGTTTGACCTTCTAATTGCAGCGGGTTATGTTATGACAATATAGACACTTGTTTGACCTTCTAATTGCAGCGGTATCTGTTATGACAATACAGAAACTTGTTTGATCTTCTAATTGCAGCGGGTTATGTTATGACAACATAGACACTTGTTTGACCTTCTAATTGCAGCGGGTTATGTTATGACAATAAAGACACTTGTTTGACCTTCTAATTGCAGCGGGTTATGTTATGACAATATAGACACTTGTTTTATATTTTATATACATGTATGACAAACAAGCGTCTGGGATAGCCCTGCGTGTTTCCCTTCACGTGTGATAAGTGAACGAGGTGAACTGTTTACTCCAGAGGGTTAAGACAAGTGCTGCCAATGAATCCCATTAACCTGTTCAATGGCCCAGCTAACATCCCTAATGCTCTCACTAGTGATGCACTCCGTCTTCAGATGAAAGTGATGGCCCCATGGGATCAACTCTACATCATTTTCATTTTCTTCAACTTGCAAAGCAGGGATAACATGATCCTGATAGTGTTGGGGCTTCTGTTAAGAGTTTAAGCTGCCATACAAGGATACTGGATGGCGAGAGGCAAGAACGTCAGTTCAATGTTCATGTTTTATGCGAATAATGACACGATCAATTTTCACACATGCCTTCATGCCTGTAAAATTTAAGAGGCCTTTATGATCAAAATAGCCTTAGATCCATATGCGCTAGAGATAATTAGGCCTTTATAATTGCGAAGAACTTGCAACACCGTTCAACACGAGATCTTCAGGCCTGTATAGACGCGATTACATGGGAAAGGCGATATTTAGAAAATATGACTATAAAACATTATAAAACTACGACAATGGGATGTATCCGGGGACAGACATAAGGTCTGTATTCAGGTGAAACGTTTCACAGAGTAAAAAGGAGAATATAGCCCCCATACAGGTTATGTTATAGCGCTTGTTCGTGATTAGAATGGACAATAAGGTTGGTCGCAGGTCCTGCCTGGGTATTAACGTCAGCTTCGTTATAACCGGCTTTTCGCTAAATCCGACATGGTATATCAAGCTTTGATTTATAGCACTCAAATACCCGATTGATCCGCTCCTTGTAGAGATGAGGCTGATTTATGTCCATTACGCTGTCACTTATCGCATGTGAAGCTGTAAATCTACTTGTATATGAGGGTATAACCTACCGGTATATGAGACTGTAACTTGCAGGTATATGAGGCTATATAAGATAAATATATGTGATAAATTGCAAGGAACAATGAAAAACGAAGCTTGGTTTATTTCACGATGAAACATTGTTCTATCATGACGTCATTTCTTGAGATTCGAATAAGAGCTCGCAACTTGATGACGCCATATATTGGATGACGTTATTTTTGAGAGGGAAGTCTCTCATAACTTGTTCTCCATAGATGGTGCTGGACTACGCAGATAAACGGGCAGGCCAAACGATTGTGTCCACAGATGGGAGAGATATGACAATCGGTGTCGGGAGAAAAGGTACAGATGATCGACATGAGGATTGTGAGAATATGCGGGAAATACCAAATTTTACCCTTCTGTTAGTAAAATGGACTTGTTCGACATATCCGAGTTCGGATTCTGTTCGGGGGGTCGTCATCATTACAATTTGGGTAAATATATTAAAAGCTTGTACATTTTATCAACATCCTTAAAAGGTATGTACTAAAAGTAAAGAAATAATATAACGTATATAAATAACGTACCGGTATATGAGGCTATAACGTACCGGTATATGAGGTAGCCGACCAAGGAACCCACCAGCAGGATGCCCCCGGCCACGCCGCTCAGAATCTCCTTCGTGTAGGCTAGGATAGAAAGAAAAACTCAAAAAAGTTTAGAATAATGTGTTGAACACAAACACAAGTGAGTATAAAAACGTCCCTGCAATGATGGCACAGTGAGCAAATCAAGTTGATTTATTAAGGTGACCTGTTTGAAGAACACATTATACAAGGACACATGGAACATCACAACGCAGCAGTGCTTGCGATGATCCTCCGACTTTATCAAGGGTGGGTGTGAGCGAGTGTGTCTCCTTCAGTTTCCCACCCTTTTCATTGTGTTTTTTAGATATGTTACTTTGAAGTCGGACATTTTATCAGATCATGAAACCCCACGACTACCGGTGAACCGATAGGGAAAAGACTTGTCTTTGATCCCGGGGTTTGAATGAAAATCTATTTCATGTCCTCCTTCTGACTGCTAATGTGTCAGCTCTTTCACTTCCGGTTTTGACGAGCAAGAGGAGACAACTCTACCGAAGGGCGGATATATGTCAGGCACACGTCTGCATGAGCATTTATACTCTGTCCATTATATAGGCGCATCTATCTCACCACTGACTCTTTTACTGCTAACAGTGTGCTACGAGATGATGTTTAGACATTAGGGTGGCCGTGACATGCCCCATGACTAACGTGTCTGGCATGTCGACATTATCCACGCAGGCCACATTATTTCCCGAATAGAATTTAACAGTTTGTGTTTTGGGATGGTGAATATCCTCTACTGGGAATAAACATTATATTTAGAGAACCATAATGCAACATGTCACAAGGTCAGTAATTAGTCAGTCGGACAAGCATCAATGTAGTTCCAACTGAAACTTGTCTTTTAGACAGTGGCTTTACTCCCATATAGGTATAAAGACAACTGCCTACAGATGTGTTTTTTTCAACTTTGTCAGTGACCGACTTAGGGGCAAATTATCAGTCAGACTGTAAGAGTAACTGCCCTTTATCAAAGGGAAGCTACTCTGGTCTATGAAACGTCAAGTTCTTTAGACTGCCAGGCCTGTCATACCACACTTCGGCCAAATCCAACTGTTTAAATCCTGAAAAGACTCCAAGCAACAGAGGTCTACAGGTACGGATATTGATACCCCGACCTCCCTCGATAAACATCTATAAACATTTATATCTCCTAAGCTGCCTATATTTTAGACACCGATGTTGAGTATCCTAGACTACTAGTAACTTATCCAGGTCCCCGAACGTCAGTTCTTACTCGATCACCGGCAGACAAAGGCGATGCAATATTTGTTTGTAAACACTGATAGTAGTACCAACCTGACCTTTCATATTGGCATATTTATCCGTAAACGGCCCTAGCGGCTAACGTTTTTCATCTTTTTGTTTTATCTTGCCAACAAACCTTACCATGATAGATAAAACTAGTGTGTTTCAAATACACACAGTCGTAAAAAAAGGCTATCAATCACATGTTATTGTATAGCTACTTGTCCACTTGTGGTATGAAGACTGCATATCTGGTTGTGTTATATGAAGTCTACAAATTTATTGTCGATATTTCTATCTACATGTCTACGTATATCACAAAAATATTTGTTTTATTGCTCTCACAGCTATATGGTGTATGTAAAGAAAGGCAACAAAATCCTTTCAGCATTCATAAGAGTTATCTGTTAAAAGCAGTGTCCATTGTGCGATTCCGACTATGTCATAAGCATGTGTTTATGAATCACTATCAATTAGCTATGATACCAGGTGTTCGCGAAACGATGACCGTATGCTGTCCCACCGAAGGGCCCCGTCACAAACACATGCAAAGACAATAACTTTATTCCTTTAACCTTAAAATTCAATAACCCCTGATGATAGGGTTACAAAGTACAGGAACACTTCTACTGAAAATGGTGTAGTTTAAAATCTACATCATGCACAAAATACAAATAATAGTTCACACTGCCTACTGTGACATCGTGTGCCGACCTACGTGTTGTCTCGTGCAGTACTGCATGCAGGGAAAGCACGTGGTGCTGAGGACATAGAAATGAGGCCCAGAGTGAGCGAGTGAGCTTAAATAACGCCAACTTTAAACAAAATGTCAGAAAGAAAACGGTGCGAATACTTCATGGGGGAGGAAAAGCCCGAAGTGATGCAGGTCTTAGACGTTTACCACTTTCGTGAAACCAACAAACATGGGTATGGTGCTGACAAACCTAGACACATAATCTGTGATCCGAACTCCCGTTCTTCATTTTCAAAGGGACATAACTCTGCAAGTGAATTGCGGCGCCTCAGATGACTGGGCCCGTGCGTCAGGTCTATAGATACTATACTCTGACTGGACCCGTGCATCAGGTCAGTAGTGACACAATATATTGACTGTATCCGTGCGTCAGGTCAATAGTGATACAATATATTGACTCGACCCGTGCATCAGGTCAATAGTGACACAATATATTGACTGGACCCGTGCGTCAGGTCAATAGTGATACAGTATATTGACTGTATCCGTGCGTCAGGTCAATAGTGACACAATATATTGACTGTATCCGTGCGTCAGGTCAATAGTGACACAGTATATTGACTGTATCCGTGCGTCAGGTCAATAGTGATACAATATATTGACTAGACCCGTGCGTCAGGTCAATAGTGACACAATATATTGACTGGACCCGTGCGTCAGGTCAATAGTGATACAGTATATTGACTGTATCCGTGCGTCAGGTCAATAGTGACACAATATATTGACTAGACCCGTGCGTCAGGTCAATAGTGATACAATATATTGACTGTACTCGTGCATCAGGTCAATAGTTATACAATGTAATCACTGTATCCGTGCGTCAGGTCAATAGTGACACAATATATTGACTGTATCCGTGCGTCAGGTCAAAACTGACACAGTATATTGACTAGACCCGTGCGTCAGGTCAATAGTGACACAATATATTTACTGTATCCGTGCGTCAGGTCAATAGTGACTAAATATGTTGACTGTATCGTGCATCAGGTCAATAGTGACACAATATATATACTGTATCCGTGCGTCAGGTCAATAGTGACTAAATATGTTGACTGTATCCGTGCATCAGGTCAATAGTGACACAATATATATACTGTATCCGTGCGTCAGGTCAATAGTGACTAAATATGTTGACTGTATCCGTGCGTCAGGTCAATAGTTATACAATATATTCCCGGAAGGCTGGTTTTGATCCAGTGGATATAAAGGTTGGCTGACAAGAAGCTGTCTTGACACTGAAACGGTTCATAGATCGTCAATCAACGTGGCGAAGTTTATGAACGCACATACAGCACAGTTCACGTTATTGCTTTCTCAAGTGGATGTTTCCTGGATTGTCCACAGCATCATTGATGCGTGTTGGTCATATAAACTTTATAGCATTGCCCGGTAACATTCATGTGTGTCTTTGTGGGAACAGATCAATCAGAGAGGCACTTCTGGGCTGGTGGATTGAGATGTTGCTCAGTGACCCGTGTGAAGGTCAGTCGTAGTGGACACATTACGGTGAGACTCCCATAGATTGTTGACCTCTCCACAAAGTGTTGACCTCTCCACAGAGTGTGTCAGGGCGGTGTCAGTGTGAAGGTCAGTCGTAGAGGACACATAACGGTGAGACTTCCATAGATTGTTGACCTCTCCACAAAGTGTTGACCTCTCCACAGAGTGTGTCAGGGCGGTGTCAGTGTGAAGGTCAGTCGTAGTGGACACATTACGGTGAGACTCCCATAGATTGTTGATCTCTCCACAGAGTGTTGACCTCCCCACAGAGTGTGTCAGGACGGTGTCAGTGTGAAGGATACAGTACCCATCAGTGAATGGTGCCATGGCCCTCACATATTTCAGTCTGCGATACACATTGGCACAAATGTTGCCTTGAAAACTGTCATTGCTACGTTTCTAAGCTGACGCGTCTTTGTCTGAGATGTGTATCAGATACAGGATGCTTCTGGCGGAGTTCCGGTACAGCGATAAACCAACTACTGTACCCCCCACAACATGGTACTGCGACACTAGCATGATCTTACCACTGCCTTAAGTAACGGGAGCCCCTTCTCTGAGAGACAAAGTAGGTTTAGCTGTGATGATGTCGTCGTACATCAAAACAGCATCCTATATAAGGCATACACATCCCTACACTAGACAGTAGCCCTGTCGTTTATGTCCGACACAGTCACAGCGATGTGCTTCGTAAAGAGTGCAAACGAGTTATTAATTCGGCATTTCCTAGCTTCGTATCTGATTCACACGTTTACACTATCACGTCATCTACAAATGGTATCAAAGTCGAAAAGCGTTAAAGCTATCGTGTCAGCTAGGCAAGGTAGCGGTGGGTGTGTCTACTGGGAAAGGTAGATATAGATGTGTCTGTTAGGCAACGTAGGGATGGGCGTGTCAGCTAGGCACGGTACAGATGGGCGGGTCAGCTGGGTAAGGTAGCGATGGGCGTGTCAGGCAGGAAGGGTAAAGGTGTGTGTGTGTCAGTTAGGTAAGGATGGGCGTGTCAGTTTGGCAAGTTAGAAATAGGCTTGCAGCTAGGCAGGGTAGGGGTGTGTGTATCAATTAGGCAAGGTAGGGATGCCCGTATCAGATAGACAAAGTAAGGATAGGCGTGCAAGTTAGGCAAGGTACGGATGGTCGTGTTGGCTAGGCAAGATGGGGATGGGCGTGTCAGCTAAGGAATGTGGAGATATGCGTGTCAGCTAGGCAATGTGGGGATGGACGTGTCAGCTAGGCATTAAGGGGATGGACGTGTCAACTAGGCAATGTGGAGATGGGCGTGTCAGCTAGGCAATGTAGGGATGGACGTGTCAGCTAGGCAATGAGGGGATTGACGTGTCAGCTAGGCAATGTGGGGATGGACGTGTCAGCTAGGCATTGAGGGGATGGACGTGTCAGCTAGGCATTGAGGGGATGTGTGTCACCTAGGCAATGTGGGGATGGACGTGTCAGCTAGCCTCTCCTATGGACCAATGAGATTCCACCTCTCGTATCACTTGCGTTTGCTTCACCCAAAATGATGGCGCCCAGTCAGGACGATCTGATCGATGATCAAGATCTATATTGTGTTAAAACGGGTCTTACATCGTTAGTCCAGCCAAAATATAACTCCATAATACCAGCCTAGTTCGGCAAGGGTGGAAACTGGACTTTTATAGTCAGTTAACTCTCTTGCCTCGGGAAGATGGTGTCAGCTATGCAATGTGGGGATGTGCGTGTCAGGGAGGCAGCTTATGGATGTGCATAATGGCTGGTAACTCCTACCTCGGTTAGTTGGATGTCTTTGTGTTTATATTGTGTATATCTATCAACACGCATGCCCACAGAAGCACATCGCCTACCGGCACGGGGCTTCGAGCAGCAGAGGGAGTGCAGGGCTTGTTCGAGACCTGTGACAGCGACCACCATATTGACTCATAATGCCACTATACAATTGCTTCAATACTTGTTGTTCAGTACAATTTCGCCAGTTTCAGAAGATGAAGGAGAACAGACGTTTTAAAGGAAGAATCAGTAGGACTGCCCCAGATGGCAGTTGTGAGACTTCTTCCACTCCGTCACAGTGTCTCGGCGGGGAGCCTTCCCAAATGGGGGTCTTGTCTGAAGGAGCCATGTAGGTAGGCAGTGTCCTTAGCCGCCATGACATCTAGACAGTGTCACTAGCCGCCATGACATCTAGACAGTGTCACTAGCCGCCATGACATCTAGACAGTGTCACTAGCCACCATGACATCTAGACAGTGTCACAGGCCGCCATGACATCTAGGCAGTGTCACAAGCTGCTATGACATCTAGACAGTGTCACTAGCCGCCATGACATCTAGATAGCGTTACTAGCCGCCGTGGCATCTAGACAGTGTAACTAGCCGCCATGACATCTAGGCAGTGTCACAAGGCACCATGACATCTTGTCATTGTCACCAGCCGCCATGACATCTAGACAGTGTCACTAGCAACCATGAAATCTAGTCAGTGTCACAAGCCGCCATGACATCTAGACAGTGTCACTAGCCACCATGACATCTGAAGATTGTCATAAGCCGCTATGACATCTAAACAGTGTCATTAGTCACCATGACATCTAGACAGTGTCACAAGCTGCTATGACATCTAGATAGCGCTACTAGCCGCCGTGGCATCTAGACAGTGTAACTAGCCGCCATGACATCTAGGCAGTGTCACAAGGCACCATGACATCTTGTCATTGTCACCCGCCGCCATGACATCTAAACAGTGTCACTAGCAACCATGACATCTAGTCAGTGTCATTAGTCACCATGACATCTAGACAGTGTCACAAGCTGCTATGACATCTAGATAGCGTTACTAGCCGCCGTGGCATCTAGACAGTGTAACTAGCCGCCATGACATCTAGGCAGTGTCACAAGGCACCATGACATCTTGTCATTGTCACCAGCCGCCATGACATCTAGACAGTGTCACTAGCAACCATGAAATCTAGTCAGTGTCACAAGCCGCCATGACATCTAGACAGTGTCACTAGCCACCATGACATCTGAAGATTGTCATAAGCCGCTATGACATCTAAACAGTGTCATTAGTCACCATGACATCTAGACAGTGTCACAAGCTGCTATGACATCTAGATAGCGCTACTAGCCGCCGTGGCATCTAGACAGTGTAACTAGCCGCCATGACATCTAGGCAGTGTCACAAGGCACCATGACATCTTGTCATTGTCACCCGCCGCCATGACATCTAAACAGTGTCACTAGCAACCATGACATCTAGTCAGTGTCACAAGCCGCCATGACATCTAGGCAGCGTCACTAGCCACCATGACATCTAGACAGTGTCACTAGCCACCATGACATCTAAGCAGTGTCACTAGCCGCCATCACATCTAGATAGACAGTGTCACTAGTCACCATGACATCTAGGTAGACAGTGTCACTAGCCACCATGACATCTATGTAAGCAGTGTCACTAGTCACCATGACATCTAGGTAGACAGTGTCACTAGCCACTATGACATCTAGGTAAGCAGTGTCACTAGTCACCATGGCATCTAGGTAGGCAGTGTAACTAGCCACCATGACATGAAGGCAGTGTCACTAGCCACCATGACATCTAAGCAGTGTCATTAGTCACCATGACATTCAGACAGTGTCACTAGCCGCCATGACATCTAGGTAGGCAGTGTCACTAGCCACCATGACATTCAGACAGTGTCACTAGCCACCATGACATGTAGGCAGTTTCACTAAGCACCATGACATCTAAGCAGTGTCATTAGTCACCATGACATTCAGACAGTGTCACTAGCTACCATGACATCTAGGCAGTGCCACTAGCCACCATGACATGTAGGCAGTGTCACTAACCACCATGACATCTGGGCAGTGCCACTATTCACCATGACAACTGGCTAGGCAGTACCACTAGTCTCCTACATATTCTCCATGAACGCTTGCAGTGCCGAAGAGCAGATTTGTTTCTTTGTTTTCTACGAACTAACATATGACGGATGTGAGAAAAAGTATGCTTCTGTTGAATGATGAATGGGACTGCTGGTTTCCTTCCAGACGTGACATGCGGAGATGGTCAGATCAGGGAGTGGGCAGTCTCCTCCCTAGGTATTGTGCCAGTGGGGCCGCTAACTAATTGCTTCTGAAATTGGTTGGACGCGGGGTAGCTTCTCGACTGCAGTATCTTTTACAGTACCTCCCGTCCCCTTCCGCTGCCAAATGAGCAGGCGACATGATTCTGGGAAATCTATTACCCCACAGACGAACTAATTCCATCTATACGATGAGTGCGTGATATAATTGAACAAGGCAAAGTGTGAATAAACCAAACAGCACGAAAGCAGAGAAAACCATAGTCCGATGAATTGAATTATTCTAAGCAGAGGGAAATTCAGTCAATGTTCTTGAGAATTGTACCAATATAAAAAACATGTCATGTTTGGGAAACAATCGAGCGGATATCTAGTGTGAAAACATGCGGCTTCTCGGCATACAAGGAGCGAGATGCATTAGTCGGAGACAGGTGGTGTAGAAGTGCGGCGTCCCAGAGAGGTCTGACGGTGCTGTGGGCGTGGCACCGCATCCATCCGCCTCCATCGGCTCAACGGAAGTGACGTGATGGCACTAAGTAATACGTGCCATTGTCGAGATGAATAGCTATCTACATTATCCGAAATGAATTCGGAGCTGAAGCTCACTTCTGGCACTGAAGTCGTTCCCCGAACAGCACGTCTTGTCGTATCTAGTACTTAATTCCTTTCGTTGATTTGTGGCCGAATTTCACAATGCAGTCAGGTAGCTTTACACTGAACACACTTTAAGTCTCAACAGTCAGGGCAGCTGTTTACTGAACATTAAAATCAACACATATACATCATCATAGGAATCGCTGACCAAGAATACAGCGAGTTATTAGTAATTCGAGAAAGACATGTGCTTACAACAGACCCGAGTGTTAATTGGTGCTTTAATAGACCTAGTTTTAATAAGGATTCTCCCAATACCAAAACGTTACATCGTCGTATGTAATTACAGGAGTTTCACCAACACACGTCAGATGTGCTTACAGTTATATATTTTATATCAGTAAAGGTTACTATATCCAACACCAATGATAAACTCCAATTAGATAAACATCAATGATCTTGAGATCTAGTTCATTTATATATCTGAAGCAATGACAGCTAAAAGCATTTTTAATGATGCATGATAAAATATTAATCAATAGAACGAACACACAGGTTTAACGTGCGACAGAAGAGCGGCACATCCAAGCAAGACGTGTGTCCATGTGTGATGGTGTGTGTAGGTCACGTGGTGAGTGCAGGTCACGTGGTGTGTGCAGGTCACGTGGTGTGTGCAGGTCACGTGGGCTGCTGGTGCGGCAACAGGTGCGTGAATCAAAAGCCTGGAGGATCCTTTTCTCCTTTTGGTCAGGACGGTCCGTGGACACCGTTTGTGACTTTATGTGTATATGGTAAACAAAACGAGAAACATTCCTTTCAAAAATAAGCAAAATACATATGAAAAAAACCGTTCCTTATGAAAAAAGAAAAAATGCATTAGATTTGACCGAGAAGAGACAACAAGTGGTTCGACAAATAATACTACCTTTTCCATTCACCCTTACAACTGGAATTGAAAACAGTGAAGTCCATGTATGGAGGGATGCACCACAAGTGTGAGATTGACAGCTTTGCTTAGAAGACATATAGACTCAACATGTGATATGATGAACTTTGATATATAGACACACCATCGATGGCCACCCGATCGATGGTGAATATGGCTAGTGTTGGTTAGTGTTCTTGTGTCAAGACGGTTTGTGAAGACAGTTACACACTTATATTGCAGACTTTGGCATTGCATTTTACCTTACACATACATACTCTACTGCTCTCAAGTACTCCACAATATTACAACTTACTGCTGTTATAGTCCTCACACATAGCGCTTTGATTCAGCAAACATACCGCATTTATTCCATAAGTGTAACGCTGTAAGTCTGCAAAGTTTAGCGGAACTGTACCGCTATAAAGGTGATTGTGGGCAGGAGCGTTAAATGGGTTAACTACGACAACACAAACGAGTTGATGACGCTGTTAAACAATCCTACAGTAACAACTTATCAGGTAAATGCAGTTGCTGGATGGACGAGACTAAATCCTTTACACTCATTACCACTGAAGCGAGGAAATCAGGTACCATATTTCTTCAAATTGAACCCTGACACCTGTTTCCTGACACCTGTTCAAGCGTTATGTTCACAACACTGAAAGTAATAGACATACAGCTTGCATTTACCAAGTCCGGCTCTGTGTATAGCTGGAGGGACCGTTAGACAGAGGAACACCTGCTATTAGGGCGATACACTTCTTGTGATTGTCAGAGGAACACCTACTTTTAGAGGAGGATATACACTTCTGGTTTTTGTCAGAGGAACACCTACTTTTAGAGGGGGATACACTTCTTGTGATTGTCAGAGGAACATCTACTTTTAGAGGGGGATACACTTCTAGTGATTGTCAGAGGAACACCTTCTTTTAGAGGGGGATACACTTCTAGTGATTGTCAGAGGAACACCTACTTTAAGAGGGGGATACACTTCTTGTGATTGTCAGGCAGTGGAACAACTACTTTGAGAGGGGGGATATACACTTCTTGTGATTGTCAGACAGAGGAACATCTACTTTGAGAGGGAGATACATTTCTTGTGATTGGCAGACAGAGGAACAACTACTTTCAGAAGGGTGATATACACTTCTAGTGATTGTCAGACAGAGGAACATCTACTTTGAGAGGGGGATACATTTCTTGTGATTGGCAGACAGAGGAACAACTACTTTCAGAAGGGTGATATACACTTCTAGTGATTGTCAGACAGAGGAACATCTACTTTGAGAGGGGGGATATACACTTCTTGTGATTGGCAGACAGAGGAACATCTACTTTGAGAGGGGGGATATACACTTCTTGTGATTGTCAGACAGAGGAACATCTACTTTGAGAGGGGGGATATACACTTCTTGTGATTGTCAGACAGAGGAACACCTACTTTGAGAGGGGGATACATTTCTTGTGATTGTCAGACAGAGGAACATCTACTTTGAGAGGGGGGATATACACTTCTTGTGATTGTCAGAGGAACATCTACTTTTAGAGGGGGATACACTTCTAGTGATTGTCAGACAGTGGAACAACTTCTTTGAGAGGGGGGATATACACTTCTAGTGATTGTCAGACAGAGGTACATCTACTTTGAAAGGGGGGATATACACTTCTTGTGATTGTCAGACAGAGGAACATCTACTTTTAGAGGGGTATACACTTCTTGTGATTGTCAGAGGAACACCTACTCACAGGGGTATACACTTCTTGTGATTGTCAGACAGACGAACATCTCCTTTGAGAGGGGGGATATACTCTTCTTGTGATTGTCAGACAGACGAACATCTACTTTGAGAGGGGGATACATTTCTTGTGGTTGTCAGACAGAGGAACATTTTCTTTTAGAGGAGATACACTTCTAGTGATTGTCAGACAGAGAAACATCTTCTTTTAGAGGGTATACACTCTTGTGATTGTCAGGCAGAGGAACAGATAAATTTTAGAGGAGAAACACTTGTGATTGTCAGACAGGGGAACATCTACTTTTAGAGGGGGATAAACTTCTTATGATTGCCAGAGGAACACCTACTCACAGGGGGACACACTTCTTGTGATTGTCAGACAGAGGAACATCTTCTTTAAGAGGAGATACACTTCTAGTGATTGTCAGACAGAGAAACATCTACATTTAGAAGGTTTACACTTTTTGTGATTGTCAGACAGAGGAACATCTACTTTTAGAGGAGGTACACATCTAGTGATTGTCAGACAGAGAAACATCTACTTTTAGAGGGTATACACTTTTTGTGACTGTCAGACAGAGGAACAGAAATTTTTAGAGCAGAAACACTTGTGATTGTCAGACAAGGGAACAGCTACGTTTAGAGGGGATACACTTCTTGTGATTGTCAGACAGAGGAACAACTACCTAGAGAGGGGGATACACTTCTTGCGATTGTCAGACGGAGGAACATCTACTTTTAGAGGGGATACACTTCTTGTGATTGTCAGAGGAACACCTTCTTTTAGAAGGGGATGCACTTCTTGTGATAGTCAGACGGAGGAACATCTACTTTGAGAGGGAGATACACTTCTTGTGATTGTCAGAGGAACATCTACTTTTAGAGGGTGATACACTTCTTGTGATTGTCAGACGGAGGAACAGAAATTTTTAGGGGAGAAACACTTGTGATTGTCAGACAAGGGAACAGCTACGTTTAGAGGGGATACACTTCTTGTGATTGTCAGACAGAGGAACAACTACCTAGAGAGGGGGATACACTTCTTGCGATTGTCAGACGGAGGAACATCTACTTTTAGAGGGGATACACTTCTTGTGATTGTCAGAGGAACACCTTCTTTTAGAAGGGGATGCACTTCTTGTGATAGTCAGACGGAGGAACATCTACTTTGAGAGGGAGATACACTTCTTGTGATTGTCAGAGGAACATCTACTTTTAGAGGGTGATACACCTCTTGTGATTGTCAGAGGAACATCTACTTTTGAAGGGGGATACACTTCTTGTGATTGTCAGAGGAACACCTACTTTTAGAAGGGGATGCACTTCTTGTGATTGGCAGACAGAGGAACATCTACTTTTAGAGGGATATACACTTCTCGTGATTGTCAGAGGAACATCTACTTTTAGAGGGTGATACACTTTTTGTGATTGTCAGACAGAGGAACAGAAATTTTTAGAGGAGAAACACTTGTGATTGTCAGACAAGGGAACAGCTACGTTTAGAGGGGATACACTTCTTGTGATTGTCAGACAGAGGAACAACTACCTAGAGAGGGGGATACACTTCTTGCGATTGTCAGACGGAGGAACATCTACTTTTAGAGGGGATACACGTCTTGTGATTGTCAGAGGAACACCTTCTTTTAGAAGGGGATGCACTTCTTGTGATAGTCAGACGGAGGAACATCTACTTTGAGAGGGAGATACACTTCTTGTGATTGTCAGAGGAACATCTACTTTTAGAGGGTGATACACTTTTTGTGATTGTCAGACGGAGGAACATCTACTTTAGAGGGGGATACACTTCTTGTGATTGTCAGAGGAACATCTACTTTTGAAGGGGGATACACTTCTTGTGATTGTCAGAGGAACACCTACTTTTAGAAGGGGATGCACTTCTTGTGATTGGCAGACGGAGGAACATCTACTTTTAGAGGGATATACACTTCTCGTGATTGTCAGAGGAACATCTACTTTTAGAGGGTGATACACTTCTTGTGATTGTCAGACGGAGGAACATCTTCTTTTAGAGGGGGATACCCTTCTTGTGATTGTCAGAGGAACATCTACTTTTAGAGGGGGATACACTTCTTGTGATTGTCAGACGGAGGAACAACTACTTTTTTAGAGGGGGATCCACTTCTTGTGATTGTCAGACAGAGGAACATCTCTGTTTATATTTAATTTTGTTTTGGGTGGACGGGGAGGTGAATACAATTCTTGTGATTGTCAGACAGAAGAACACCTACTTTTCGGAGGGATACACTTCTCGTGCCTGTACCCACACTCCGGCTCGTCCCTGGGGGGTTCTCCGGAGATCCAGTGTATCTTCTCGCCCTCGTAGAAATGAAACGTCTGAAAACATAAATTACATTTGTTTGTTTTCGCTATTTCATTGATTGATGTTACTGGTGTTCCATGCTAATAATTCATCATGTATAGATAGAATCAGGTTGTACGACAACGCAAATAAATGGATTGAAAAGAAGAAAAGGGTTAATTATTTATTTTCTGCGTGTCCAGCTATGCAATTGATCTTTTAGTGACACATGAGCGCCTTTACAAGGAACAGATATACTACTTGCTGCACGACATACCGGCAGCTCGGAGATGTTGTCATTCAAACGGAACACACCAACGGGCAACAAGCCCCACTCATCGGGCCTGTCGGGTATTGGTTGCCTTGCAATTAAGGAAAAGTTGCCCTCTGCATCTCCCATGGAGTTGATACGGTTTATGTAGCCGAGTGCACCTGCGAGTAGAAGATAGTAAATATCATCAAGGTTCTAGATTTCGAAACAATCCTTGAGCTAAGGTTATCGTAAATTAAATGCAACCTAAGCACATCCTACACTGCCGCAGCCTATTTTCGAAACTATCATAGACTAAGATGTCGTGGTAATGTCATAAATCTTCAGATAACTTCATACCTGCCGTAAGTATATTTTTCATCTTCATCAAAGATGGCGACATGCTTTGCATACATATTTTTTAGGAGCAGGAGGATGGACTGATACGAAAACCACTCGTCGTCTCGATACCTGGACGATACATGGAGCTTTTCTCACGCTATCAAATTCACCGCCAGGCTATTTTTAATTTGATTAACCTTTGTAATCCATCGATTCACAATCGGTCGGGAACTAGGATCAATGTTCTTCCGAAATATCCTTTACATAAGGACGTGCAATGGCGGGCATGTTTCAAACAAATAAACTGTTTCACGTTTAAACATTGATATTTCATATGGCTAAAGTGTGCGATTCAATTTGACCTTCGAAAACGCAGAACGCATCCCTCTCTAGAGCGTCAAGAGGTGAGGTGAGGTGAAATTGGGTTTAACGTCGCGTCCAAGATTATTGCACTTATATAGCGACGTGCATGCACGTGTGTGTGTGTGTGGCTGCTTGTACTAGTCCGGACTGATGCCGATTTATAGTGCTAGCTCACAGAGATACCATGCCGCAGTTTAACATGAATACCCCACTCAGACACAGTATACTGACTCCGAGCCGACCAGTCCTTGTTTTAGCCCCTTAATGCCGAGCGCCAGACAGGGTAACAACAAGTACCATCTTTTAACGTATTTTGGTATGACGCGGTCGGGGATCGAACCCCGGACCTTCCGCTCTCCGGGCGGACGCTCTACCACAAGACCACGGAGGCAGCAGAGCGTCAAAAAGCCATTTGAAGCGATAAGAGTCAAGCATCTTTTCTCTTATTATTTCAATGTTAATAGCTATAGTGTAGTAACACTACACTTTTTGATCATAACATTTCTTGCGTTTGAAAAATGTCTTCCCATGGCACAGGAATGCTACAAAGAACGGTATATGAAATTATTGTCACCTGATTTCGTGATACGTCGACGCCATAACAAACATGTCATAAACGTGGCAACATCATGAAAGCCTTTGGGGGTAAGTTAGTAAACATGTAGCTAATATGCTCTAGCATGCGTGAGTCTTGCAGTGGCTGCTTCATAGACATACATGTAGTTCTCGTTTGTGAAGAGGTTGGTGTGTACGACTGTCTGTGTGAACGAGTTGACGACAACCGGAGAAGAGACAATAGTCATTATCAATCTTTAGCTGCCGCAATAGATCACAAGAATATCTTTTTATTGATGACACGTCTAAATGCACATAGCTGTTGTTTCCACGTTTCGGATCTATCCTATGGAATTATCTTTTCCGCAGTTTATGCCAGCTGATCTCTACAATCGGCCAGTGTCGTAAAATGACACATTCAACAGTGTTATTGATTCAACTAAACCTTTAATGTCACTAGGATGAATATGTTGACAGTATATGTATAAATATAAGGGCTAAGTCAACTATTTTGTATGTTTTATGAATCGTAATAAAACACCGGTATTTGAGATGTTAATTACGTGTGAAAACGAATTATGTTGCGCAGATAGACGAAAATATCTGGCTTACTATCAAAAGTCTCTTCACGGCCATGACGAACACACATTCATTATGTACAAACAGCCATGACGAACACACGTTCATGATGTACAAACAGCCATGACGAACACACATTCATGATGTACAAACAGCCATGACGAACACACATTCATGATGTACAAACAGCCATGACGAACACACATTCATTACATACAAACAGCCATGACGAACACACATTCATGATGTACAAACAACCATGACGAACATACATTTATTGCATACAAACAGCCATGACGAACACACATTCATGATGTACAAACAACCATGACGAACATACATTTATTGCATACAAACAGCCATGACGAACACACATTCATGATGTACAAACAACCATGACGAACATACATTCATTGCATACAAACAGCCATGACGAACACACATTCATGATGTACAAACAACCATGACGAACACACATTCATTGCATACAAACAGCCATGACGAACACACATTCATTGCATACAAACAGCCATGACGAACACACATTCATTGCATACAAACAGCCATGACGAACACACATTCATTGCATACAAACAACCATGGCGAATACACATTAATTGCATACAAACAGCCATGACGAACACACATTCATTACATACTAACAGCCATGACGAACACACATTCATTACATACTAACAGCCATGACGAACACGGATTCATTACGTACAAACGGCCATGACGTACACACATTCATGACGTACAAACAGCTATGACGAACACACATTCATTGCAAACGATCAGCCATGAGGAACACACATTAATAATAAATAACCCGCATCCCCATCGCAGATGAAACCAGTTGAAATACAAAAGAGTGTGCCAGTCAAAAATCTTGTCAGTTTGAGATTTTCTTCCTGAGTGGCCATGAGTTGAATGCTCCAATGGCACCAGGATGGTACGTTCCTTCTTCTGATCGAATCTTTTTCAGGATGTCAACATTGTTGCTGTGTAGTTATGAGAGGATGGTTGCATTTTAAAATGAATCTAAATTTCCCAACGTGCATTAAGAAAACCTTCCCAGGTAAAAATATCCTGAAATATGCTTTTAAAAGACTCTTCTTCAGTTGTTTGCCTCGGTCGGCGAAACGACACAAGGGTATTAAATGGCGATAGTGCTCATTTTCTGAACCTAATGTCATCTTCTTCAAGCTTACCAGCCACATCAAACAGTTTACATCATTTATAATGGAAAACACACACATCCTACCCCGTGCGCGGAATTAACGAGGCCTCGGTTGGTAAAACTCGTCCCTAAATACCAATAAAAACCTATGTGTTCCACAGCTCTGGTCAAACCTGGCTCATTGGATCTTTGTGTGGCCATTAGCAGGACACATCCCACGTGATTAACTGCACGGACCACGCAAGACAGATACTACGAGACAGTAGACCACGCTTTGTTAGAATACAGAAATGTTTCAGGCTTTTGACAAGGTGGGGGCAACCCTCATAAAGCCCTGCTGGACGTACTATCTGTGTGCACCCATGCTGCCACACGATACCAGAATATAAACCCTACGGATGCATTACAGTCATGTTAATAGGGTTAACGGATGTTATATGTCGGAAAACAAGCTCAGATTTTTACAAGTATATCCATAATGATTCATGGTAATCCTTTAGTCACAGTTTCCTTAGCCTTGATCCAAGGCTGTACTGGATGATAAATCCATGTTGTATAATAATTCTATCCTTATAATAAGTCTAGATATGGGGCTCTAAGGGCGCCAGTCTCTTATAGGGACAACCTGTTTTTATTATTCATATAATCTAGAAATTATGATTTAACAAATACTCTTTGCCTTAGAGACGTGGCAAGTCTACAGTTTCACCAACTATTGGTCGCCCTCTTCACGGCGTGTTGGAGTATACATCTACATGTATACGGCGTGGGGCGTTATAACGCGGACTGGCAGTGATCTTTCCACGTGCATCCTTGATCAGTAATTGGTGACTGTGTCCTCTCCCCTGTCGCGGAGACAACATTCCCATGACATTCCATCAGAGGGAAGCCCTTGTGTGCGCCTGGTCGTCGTCAGTGTATAGTGATCAGGTCCTGGCCTCTACCTGTCCATTAAGTGGACACCAAGGCTAATGAATGATGGATTAATCCTGTATTGCCCATCAGAGTGGACATTCGTTTTAACGTGTATGAAATGTCAGCGTGTGAGGCGACGTATCGACTTTATCAATTAACCGCATCACCCTCCATTATTCATGCTTAACAATTGTCAGGCCAAGTTCCGACATCAGTTGCTAATCTTGTTTCTGCGTCCAAACCGCGCCTTGGTTGGCGAGTACAAGAAGAACATACGTGTAGGTCTGACCAAGGACCCGCATGTGTGAATTATGCATGGTACATATTAACAGAAATAGTAGCTTCTTACTAAGCACCTCTAATGTGTACACCAAACAAATGTTAAGTTGACGTGCGGCTGTATAACAGAGCGTACAGTGGTAGAGACGGAGCGATGTGTTATGTTTAATCTGAGAATGGCCATCAATCACAAAGTCACACGCAAGGTCACGCACAAGGCGTGTTAGACAACTAAATTACTTCAAAACAACCATTTCGTAGAATGCCTGATATCCAATCGGAGACAGTCGCCTGTAAATATACAGTGAACACGGGCTATTATCTCTGGTTGAACACGTACAGCCTCAGTGAGTCCTCGGTAACATGTATGGTTTCAGTGCCTCTGAGTAGCCGTCGCCCTTTTGTGCTGCATCATACACTACTTCTCATAAGTACCTACACCTTTTTTTAACTTTTTACTACATTTTTGCGAAATCCCAGCAGTACGGTATTTCTACAATCGTACTGCGTTGTTTCCCCAGAGGTACCCCGTTATTTCCACCGATGTACCCAGCTTTATCTACAGAGGTACCCCATTATTTCCACAGAGGTACCCCGTTATTTCCACGAGGTACCCCTTTATTTCCACAGACGTACCAAACTTTATCCCCAGAGGTACCCCTTTATTTCCACAGACGTATCAAACTTTATCCCCAGAGGTACCCTTTATTTCCACAGAGGTACCCATTATTTCCACAGACGTACCCAGCTTTATCCACAGAGGTACCCTTTATTTCCCCAGAGGTACCCCTTTATTTCCACAGACGTACCCAGCTTTATCCCCAGAGGTACCCCATTATTTCCACAGAGGTACCCCTTTATTTCCACAGACGTACCAAACTTTATCCCCAGAGGTACCCTTTATTTCCACAGAGGTACCCCTTTATTTCCACAGACGTATCAAACTTTATCCCCAGAGGTACCCTTTATTTCCACAGAGGTACCCCTTTATTTCCACAGACGTACCAAACTTTATCCACAGAGGTACCCCTTTATTTCCACAGAGGTACCCCATTATTTCAACGGACGTACCCAGCTTTATCCACAGAGGCATCCCTTATTTCCACAGAGGTACCCCGTTATTTCCGAGGATGGACACCGTTATTTCCACTTAAAGCGGTAATTACACAAAAGAACTGTGGTAGATCCGCACAGTTGTGTGAAAGTAACCGTAACTGTACCATGGAAAAAAGAGGTAGATGGTTGTGAGCAGTAGTGTAGGCCCAGCTATCTCGAGGCCGTGGGGACTGATGCATATTGATCAAATTATATAGTGACCATGCCCCCCTAACTGACCCTTAAGTGGACAGAATGGCTAATGAATGATGGATTAATCCACCACTATTGCCCATCAGAAAGGACATTCGTCTTAACTTGGATGAAATGTCAGCGTGTACCGCGGAGAATAGGTAGGTAGTTGTGAGCAGTAGTGTAGGAGGAGATGTATATTGATCAAACTAACGTCAAGCTCGCGGACACCAGTAGATGCAGTTACTTGCATGACTGAACTGGCGATGTTTCTATTGGCAGAGTTGCCAGAATGCGTCCAGGAATGACGTCATAGTTCAGCTGGTGTCACAAACATAACGCGATATAAAGTGGAAATTAAACACACCCATTCATCAATATCCTCGTTTACAACTTTTAAGCATACATCCTTCAGGGTTATATATAGATCTTATATCTGACAACTCATCCTAAAGTGAACACGAGTATGCGAGTTTATAGGGTATCAGAATCTTGGGCAGTATCTGACACCACATACACGGCATACATACTCATACAGACATACGCATACATAGATACATACACATACATACACACAAACACATATATAGACACACACACATACACAAACACACACAGACACACACACAGACACACATACAAAGAAAGACACAGACACTGACACACACAAAGACACAGACACACACACACACGCACACACGCACGCACACACACACACACACACATAGATAAATCAACCAACCATGTTCTTTTTGACTAGATAACCATATACTGGAAATGAAATCGAACCAATATATGCAGGTCCAATTATCAATACTTATTTAGAATCCGAAAGGACCAGGAGAGCTTGTGCCAAGGCGAGAAAGAATTTGAATTCCCTGAGAGAACATATGGCGTAGAGTAATAATTCCATGTGCCTTCTACGCGTGTGAACTGTGTTCAAACATTCAAAGACAGAACACAATGAAATTGAAAAACTCCAGCACTACGTTGCACGTAATGTACAACATTTTCATGTTAGATCTCCGGCCGTTGCAAATATTCAGACGCTGGGATTGTGGACTATGACATCTCTGATTGACAAAATGAAGTCAGGTTCCTTAGGAGGATGTGTAGAAGCAACAACAGATATGCCCCGAAAAAGGTGTTCTATTTCAAGTGTGCTCGATATATAACAGGCAGTGACAAAAGTAAGTCTGTAACACATGATCTACTCAATGTGGCAAAGAAGTATGAATTATGGACCACAATAGTTCACTTTATGAAAACTAACCAGTTTCCATCCAAGGATTCGTGGAACAAAACCGCACAGACTAAATAACAGAACTTGAAACTGCTCATTGGCACATGTGTCTGCGAGATCACCCTGAATTTAAGTTTAACAGATTCAGTAAAATTCACAGTAAGTTTGTACCTCATAGACTGTGGAATATGTGTATTTTGTACAATATGCCAATTAGACCTATGTATAGGAACACGATGTGCGATGACAAAAAAAGCACCAACTTCTTTGTTTTAACCCTCCATGAACATCTGTTTGACACTTTAAACCTAGAACAATACATGTGTATTGAGGACTGTGCAGATGACGAAGTAAAACTGTGACATTTCTATGTGGCATAACCCCTATTGTAGAGGATATGAGCCTTGACAGCTGGGTTGAATTCATATCTTCTGTATCACGAGATATAATCTCCTGGAACCTGTGATCAATGATCTGTAGACAGTATATCTCATACCAGGACCAAGACATGTAAATATTCAGTATTGTCAATATCTCTGCATAATGTTTTTGTAAATATGCTGTGTTAACATGCTTCCACAAGTATATCCCTCTCCGAGGAAATAAAGATCATTCTACCACACACACACACACACACACACTCACACTCACACACACACACACACACACACACACACACACACACACACACACACACACACACCACATATAAGCAACAACAAATTTGAACTCAGACGAAAGTTACATATCACATTTTCAATTCTGTCAAAACCGAGCATGGACAGATATAGGTTTGGGGAGGTGGGAGGTTGCTCAGTTGGTTCGAATCCCAGATTGACTTTGATTGTTTCTTGGTTTGTCAGCACCATACGCTGAATGCTACTGAATGTTACCACCGTAGTATCTGTCGTTTATCCCCACGTCGAGATTCCACCCCACATTTAACAGGGACGCTGTGATATAACTAAAATACAGCTGTTCAAAGCGGCGTTGAACTAAACTAACTCCCTCACTCAAACACCACCACTTACTTTTGTAGGTCATCCCCATGATCTGCTCAATGATGGCTCGCCCATCGTTGATGTCACCCCCCTTTTCGAGCACCTTTTGCGTTGCACGTGCATACAACCACACTGCGTCGTAAAGATACGCAGCTTCCGGTAGAATCTGCAACACAGCATTGACATGATAGTTTAGAATGGTCTTTCGTGTTGAAAGAACACGCTCGCCAGGAGCGGGAACACCCTTGAAATAAGTTGCATGGGTAACTTCAGTCTTCAAAATGTTTGTACATTTGAGTGAGTGAGTGAGTTGGGTTTAACGCCGCTTTTAACAGTATTCCAGTTATATCACGGCGTGTCAGCTTAATGTGGGAGGAAAGCCCGAAGTGATGCAGGTCTCAGGCGTTTACCACTTCGGTGAAACCCACGAGCACGGGTATGGTGCTGACAAACCTAGAAACATAATCGGGGCGAACCGGGATTCGAACCCACAATCATAGATTTCTGGCGTGCCCAAGGGACGCAACTCTGCACAGCGAATCGCGGCGCCTTAGACGACTGGGCCACCCATGCCGCCTTTGTACATTTGAAATGAGAGACAAACGTTGTATTGCTCCACATAAATCTAAGAATTCCTCGATTGGGTCATTACATGTTGTTTGGACCAGCCGCAGTTACCATCAAAGTTCCATGGCCACACCGAAGACCGATAAACTATCAAGTGTCCGTTCATTAACTATTGATCACCGTCCGAAGCCTTTAAATAGGAATGATTGTGTTCCTCATGGCTGTGTTTCTCTGTAGATCTAACCTGATTGTGGGGTTGTTTATTGCGAACATGATCTAATATATTACAGTATATCATTCCGAATATCGTTTATCTTATACTTAAAAATCAAGAAAAACAGTAATAGCTTGTCAAAGAGGCACCGAATGATAGCAGCTCCATAATATAATTTGTAATTTAATCAAGTTAATGATTTTTCTGTTTTGATTCAATGTTTCTGTCTCTTTTATCTTTGGCTGTTTTAATAGTGAAATCAATATGTGGCTTGTAAATGCATTAGCGTGCCCCAACCATGATTATACAACTAAGTGTGGTTATAAAACCGCACGCTTTTTTCAAAATACAACGTGACCGTGTATACTTTCACCACTGACTGTCCTTGTGCTGCCTTACCGTAGTACAGAAAACTACGTTTATAACGAACACGCTTATAACGAACTGGCGGATATAACAAACTGTTTTGGGGGGCCCGGCCATTTGCTGTACATATGCTGTATATATGCTTATAACGAACTACGGTTATAACGAACTAAAATTTGTGGTCCCTTTGAGTTCGTTATAACCGTAGTTTACTGTACCTCTACTACGTAACCATTGATCGTTGCCCATAAACCACCTCTGCTTGCTTGTCAAGAACTAGTTCGTCTCTAGTCCGTGTGATCAGTGTTTAATGTAGGTCACGGCTTTTCAACCGTTCAGTCCCTTTGAATACTTTTCATTGAAATCAGATTGAAGACATTACACACATTAGAATACAGTAAACTACGGTTATAACGAACTCAAAGGGACCACAAATTTTAGTTCGTTATAACCGTAGTTCGTTATAAGCATATGTACAGCAAATGGCCGGGACCCCCAAAACAGTTCGTTATATCCGCCAGTTCGTTATAAGCGTGTTCGTTATAAACGTACTTTTCTTTACGTTGGAGGGAAGGTAGATTGGTTGACGGGATTACACATACAGGAGTATGTGTTAGTGAGTATTATATACATCAACACAGCAATAATCCAGCAATATTTCGGCGGGGGACACCAGTAATGGGCTACACACATTGTACATATGTAGGAAATCGAACCAGGGTCTTCTGCGGCACGAGCAAACGATTTAACCACAAGGCTACCCCGCCGCCCCTTGCAGTGAAGTTAGGTAAGTACACACGTTGGAATATGCTTAACTGAAATTAGTACAATGAAATGACGAAATTGGAGTTTCTAAAAATTAGGTTAATGAAATTGCACACACATAGAAATACTTTTACAAGAAGTTAGGTGAATGAAATTGCACTTGATGGAACATGTTTTATTGGAATACGTTCACATAAAATTAATTCAATGACATTATCACATTGGAATATGTTTAAATGGAATTTGGTTAAGTAAACTACACATGTTTAAAAATGCTGAATTGGAATGTGGAATTGAAATTAGAATGAAATTAAACACATTTGAATGTGTTCAAATGGAATTAGTTTAATGAAATTGCACACTTTGGAATATGTTTAAAATAAATTCGTTTAATTAAATTGCACACTATGGAACATGTTTAAATTAAATTAGTTAATAAAAACGCTCATTGGAATATATTTAAATGAAATTATTTATGAAACGGCACACATTGGAATATTTTTAATTGAAAATAGTTTAATGGAATTGCACACACTGGAATATGTTGTCAAAAGAAAAACATGAGAAAAGACGAAGACGCTCCTGTTTCAACGAATACACGCACCTGAACCCAAGTAGATTTAAAGTCAAAACAGAAATTACCGTCAGTGTCCTCCGACGAGCTGAATACATACACGAACTGCTCACATAATCACTAACTACTTTGTAAATATGCACTTAAATACCCTGGAATATTCCGTACATTGAAGTTACACCGAAGAACTTATTTATATAACAGCTCTCGTTCTCTCTCGCACATGTCGAGACAGACATCTAACAACTGCATGTTCAGATTAAGTACCTGTGCGATACCATTTACAGTCCCTAGAACGAGATACGTCCAGTGGGGGGATATCCCAACAGTTCAGGGAATGTATTAAAGTGTATACTTAATGATGTCACAGTATATAAAGGTAATAGAATATCTACTCTGCCATTATCGTCATGTTTACATCATTAATATTGATACTGATTCATAAACACATGCTAATGAAACAGGGAATTGTACAATGGACCCCTGGCGTGTCACAATCAAACCATCGATGGTTTCTTATCCCAGTTCTTCCTGATTTTAGAGTTTTACCAAAGCGCTAAACGTCAAATATATGCTTCACTTCGTGCGTTCCTCCCACGTCAAACGCAAGTGATTGTCACGCAGGGATAAACAGACATACGGTGTTGAAGCGGGGTTAAAACACCCTCACTCACTATTAGACCAACGAATCGGCCAACGTCCAAACCATTTTCCCACGGCAAGAGTGTCCACTGGCCTATATCAAAGCCTAGCTTCTACCCTTGCCATTTGAAGCCTACGTTTCTTGGCTCGATCACGGCACCACCCCGGGTAGAACACGAGCTGTGCCCATTGGGATGAAAACGCTATATCCAATCAGATCTTTGTTTTTATTCCAATGGCACCATAAAGAGGACGACCAAATGTTTAAAAAAAGATACTCTTAAACGTTATTTCTGCATTTTTGGACCGTTTATGTTAGATTTTATTTGTAACAAATATTGTTCATTCATAAAAAAATAATTTTGTATAAGTAATATATATATATATATATATATATATCTATATCTATATATCTATCTATCTATCTATCTATCTATCTATCTATATATATCTATCTATCTATCTATCTATCTATCTATCTATCTATATATCTATCTATCTATCTATCTATCTATCTATCTATATATATATATATATATATATATATAGATATTTCGACTCTCATTCAAGAAACATCTATGTTACATGTTCATTCGTAGTATGTAATGGTTATTTTTTTCATATTTCAACGCGAGCCGACTTATGATTAAAATTAAAATAATTTTGTGAGCCTTGTTTGCTAACAAACCATCTACCACTAAAATTGCGTAAGGATTTTGATTTTCAAATTCGACAATAAATATCATGTTCAACCGTGTAGAGGTTGAATTATTGATTTACTGCATATATAGTAAATTGAGGTTTACATCTAAACAAAATTGTGCTTTTTTTAATGTGTAAAGAAATGTGCTTGTTTTTAGGTGTAAGCAACTACTTTTCTTGTACAGCGGTAGTTCCTACTTATTACTCATGCATCGCAATAACAGAGGCAAACAGGCTAGTGACACTACACATAGTTAAGTACCACTGCACTTCGCAGCAACATTAAACTTCAGCGGGGGGGCTCTGAAAATAGCACTGCATCTTAGTCACTGCGACAAGCGTTCAGTAGTTTGAATTAAAAAACAATGACGTTCGCACTCAGCTATAAAAGTACTTGGATGGGTTGATTGAAAACTTTGAACCTATTCGAAAATATGTCTTAGCTAGATTTGTTGGAATAATTTCAGCGCAAACTCGACAGGCGAGGGCTGTGGCCATAGAAGCGACCACGTTTTCGGAACCAGGATGTTGATTTTTAAACACGTTCTCTGATTGGACTATCTATACGTGCGATAGTAAACTCATAGTTTATCACAGAAAAATAGGCTTGGAATGGCGTGGTGGAAACTAGACTTTGATATAGGCTCGTGGACATGCTTGCCTCTGGAAGATGCAACCAGACACAATTTGTACGCCATCAGAAGATTCATTCATGACTTACAGCTTTTATCCCTCCAAGTTCCTTGTAGGGGTTTGTGTAGTTGAAGGGCGGGGCTTCCAGATAGTGATTGACGACACTGCTGAAGTTGGAGAAGTCGGGCATGATGGGGGGCGAGGTGACCACGCTGACGAAGTGGCGGAAGGCTGCTGCACTGCGTCTTGTCACGTTAGTGTCGAACAAACCTGTAATACAACGAGTATGACCTCAGTGCCGAACAAGCCTGTAATACAACGAATATGACCTCAGCGTCAAACAAACCTGTAATACAACGAGTATGACCTCAGTGCCGAACAAGCCTGTAATACAACGAGTATGACCTCAGTGCCGAACAAGCCTGTAATACAACGAATATGACCTCAGCGTCAAACAAACCTGTAATACAACGAGTATGACCTCAGCGTCGAACAAACCTGTAATACAACGAGTATGACCTCAGTGCCGAACAAGCCTGTAATACAACGAGTATGACCTCAGTGACGAACAAACCTGTAATACAACGAGTATGACCTCAGTGCCGAACAAGCCTGTAATACAACGAGTATGACCTCAGTGCCGAACAAACCTGTAATACAACGAGTATGACCTCAGCGTCGAACAAACCTGTAATACAACGAGTATGACCTCAGTGACAAACAAACCTGTAATACAACGAGTATGACCTCAGTGCCGAACAAACCTGTAATACAACGAGTATGACCTCAGTGCCGAACAAGCTTGTAATACAACGAGTATGACCTCAGTGACGAACAAACCTGTAATACAACGAGTATGACCTCAGCGTCGAACAAACCTGTAATACAACGAGTATGACCTCAGTGACAAACAAACCTGTAATACAACGAGTATGACCTCAGTGACGAACAAACCTGTAATACAACGAGTATGACCGCAGCGTCGAACAAACCTGTAATACAACGAGTATGACCTCAGTGCCGAACAAGCCTGTAATACAACGAGTATGACCTCTGTGCCGAACAAGCCTGTAATACAACGAGTATGACCTCAGTGCCGAACAAGCCTGTAATACAACGAGTATGACCTCAGCGTCAAACAAACCTGTAATACAACGAGTATGACCTCAGCGTCGAACAAACCTGTAATACAACGAGTATGACCTCAGTGCCGAACAAGCCTGTAATACAACGAGTATGACCTCAGTGACGAACAAACCTGTAATACAACGAGTATGACCTCAGCGTCGAACAAACCTGTAATACAACGAGTATGACCTCAGTGCCGAACAAGCTTGTAATACAACGAGTATGACCTCAGTGACGAACAAACCTGTAATACAACGAGTATGACCTCAGCGTCGAACAAACCTGTAATACAACGAGTATGACCTCAGTGCCGAACAAGCCTGTAATACAACGAGTATGACCTCAGTGCCGAACAAACCTGTAATACAACGAGTATGACCTCAGTGCCGAACAAGCCTGTAATACAACGAGTATGACCTCAGTGCCGAACAAGCTTGTAATACAACGAGTATGACCTCAGTGACGAACAAACCTGTAATACAACGAGTATGACCTCAGTGCCGAACAAGCCTGTAATACAACGAGTATGACCTTAGCGTCGAACAAGCCTGTAATACAACGAGTATGACCTCAGTGTCGAACAAACCTGTAATATTACAAGCATCATCTCACCTCACCGTCGACACTAACGTTGCACTGAATGGACACTGACACTGAAATATATGACTTGAATTCTGTACTTCCATCTTGGTTGGGCAGACGAGTGAGTGAGTTTGGTTTTACGCCGCTTTTAACAATATTTCAGCAATATCACGGCGGGAGACACCAGATTTGGCTTCACATATTGTTCACATGTCGGGATTCGAACCCGGGCCTTGGCGTGACGAGCGAACGCTTTAACCACCAGGCTACCCCACCGCCCCCGGACACAATGATGAAATATAAGTTTGACAATCTGTACCGACGTTACCTTCCATGAACTTCTGGGGCTTCATGGGATCGAACTGGTTGACCTCCACGCCCACCACGAAGTATTCTGCGCTGTCGAGGAGTCCGGCTTCATACAGGTGGTCCATGAGTCCCATGAACTCGTAGTAGTGGCCGAGCATCACGTAGACTGGAACAACACGGACGTCATCACAACACGGAGAGGCAACGTACGAAGGGAACACACACACACGTCAATGGCTCATGGGAGTTCTCTTTATGTTGGCACCCTTATATAGGATTAGAACTCGTCCACATCAACCTATACTGGTCGTAACTGTTTGAGATGTGACCCGCTGCTCATCATATCAATCACTGGATTTTTCAGATCCGATTGTAAACATGCCGCCGTCATATAGCTGGAATATTGCTGCGTGGGGCGTTAACAACAAACAACGACAATCTCACTCCTAAACATTTTGCGACATGTTACATCGCTCGTTGTTGCCAACACCCTACACACACAAACACACACACACACACACCACACGCACGCGTTAACAATTTACTATTTGGAAGCAGTCTAGCTGTAAAGTCAAACCATTTCTGTGCTGTAAACAATACCTCCCTTCATATTATTATTATTATTATAGTTATAGTTATAGTTATTATCGTAGTCAGCAATTTTCCAACGATATCACAGCGTCATGTAATTATTCGAGTCTGTGATAATCAGCTATGTTTTGTATACAAACACACCTTACAGATACGTCACACGATTATGAAAGAAACACATGTTTGATTTAACAAGTAGCCGATCAGCTGTGCTAGCTCATCAATAACGACCGAGTGAACATTGCCTACAACTCCGCATTAAACAGCTATTTGCACTGATAATCAATAATGACTTGACCCCGCGTGATCGCCCAATACCATGATTTTAGAACATTTTGAATTTGTGAAGTGGTCGAGACGTATGCCGTTATCGTTGGTCTCGGAGAAAGTAAGTGTAGGCTGTTATCGTAGTCGTTATGTATTGCTGCGGGGAATTAATCCAGTTCTCAAGGTGCGCGAGGTACATATCTTCCTGAAGATGTTTGTACTGCTTCTAATACAGGCAATGTAATCATGGGGGGGGGTTTGGGAGAAAACAGGGGGGGGTGTTGAACAAACACCAGCGTCAAGAGGGATAAGGCCTTCAGTGGGGGGGGGGGGGGGGGGGGGGGGGGGGGGGGGGGGGGGGGGGGGGGGGGGGGGCTCGTATTAACACACTCCCCACCACTCACTGGAGCAGACATAGAGAGAAGATTATTGAACTATATAATCAAATCAATTTTCCTCTCAGACAGACACGCAAATATAACATCAGGCCCATTGCACACAACCGTTTGAATACACAAGTGATTTCATATTGCCATCATCAGCTTGCATATGGGTTTTGAGTACATTGGAATTTTATAAGTTTATTGCGGTTGATAGATATAAACGGTACTTTAAGTCTGGTTTGCGTGATGGACAAACATCATCCGCGATGCCAGGCTCAGACATTCGGAAAGAAGCTCTACTGGCTTGGCCACACACACATTGCTGACTCTTGTCACAGTCGGAAGTTGATCATTATATATTGGGGAACAAGACCTCTCGCGACATCTCATGATATAAATCCCCCCCCTCCCCCCCACCCCCCACCCCCCAACCCCCACCCCCCACCCCTTTCACTCGGTTTCTCATATACATGATTTCCCTCTCTACTCATGATATACATGACCTCCCTCTCTACTACAGTCCTGATATACATGACCCCCCCCCCACACACACACACACACTACAGTCTCTGATATACATGACCTCCCTCTCTACTACAGTCTCTGATATACATGTCCTCCATCCCTACTACAGTCTCTGATATACATGACCTCCTCTCTACTAGTCTCTGATATACATGACCTCCCCCCGGACTACAGTCTCTGATATACATGACCTCCCTCTCTACTACAGTCTCTGATATACATGACCTTCCTCTCTACTCCAGTCTCTGATATACATGACCTCGATCTCTACTCCAGTCTCTGATATACATGACCTCCCCCCGACTACAGTCTCTGATATACATGTCCTCCATCTCTACTACAGTCTCTGATATACATGTCCTCCATCCCTACTACAGTCTCTGATATACATGACCTCCCTCTCTACTAGTCTCTGATATACATGACCTCCCCCCGACTACAGTCTCTGATATACATGACCTCCCCTCTCTACTACAGTCTCTGATATACATGACCTTCCTCTCTACTCCAGTCTCTGATATACATGACCTCGATCTCTACTCCAGTCTCTGATATACATGACCTCCCCCCGACTACAGTCTCTGATATACATGTCCTCCATCTCTACTACAGTCTCTGATATACATGACCTTCCTCTCTACTACAGTCTCTGATATACATGATCTCCCCCCGACTACAGTCTCTGATATACATGTCCTCCATCTCTACTACAGTCTCTGATATACATGACCTCCCTCTCTACTACAGTCTCTGATATACATGACCTCCCTCTCTACTACAGTCTCTGATATACATGACCTCCCTTTCTACTACAGTCTCTGATATACATGACCTCCCTCTCTACTGCAGTTTCTGATATATATGACCTCCCTCTCTACTCCAGCCCGTGACACATACTTCTAGTGTCGGTCTTTGTCTCCGCAACGATCTTGATGAATGGGTTCTCCGTGTGTTGGTGGAAGTAGGGGCTGGTGTAGCCTCGGCGAAAAGTAACGTTGATGTCGTACTCCTTCAGCAGCTGAAAACAAATGATTGGCAGTCAGTGTGTCGCATAACACTAGCCCGGGGCGGCAACAAATACAATTATATGACAAACGTGCACTAGGCGAGAGGAGGAATTGAATTTTCTAGATTCAATCATTTATCATTGCAGACAAGAAAAACGCAGATATAAAGTTTCAGATTTTCGACAGTCTCAATAAATTCGTTTCGTATTAAGCATCTGATCAGAACATTTGAACTGTTTTAGAGCAATTAGTGTCCAAACGGGGCGTGAGTATTTTAATGGTTTGAGTTGGTTATGGGATGCGCTGAGGTTGCACAACACGACAACAGCACGCGCTGAGAGGAGCACGATGGATGAGGAAAAGGACATCGAGCTGTTTTTATGCAGTCTGATAAAATTATTGGCTTGTTTTCATTTCGCTGAATGCCTCATTAGCACATAGCTTTAAGCTCATGTGATATTTGCAAGATGTTCGTCAATGATAAGTGATACAGGGACAACGGCAGCCACATAGTCATGCTGCTTCAGCACACAAACACACACACACACACACACACACACACACACACACATTCACGAATCGACATACACATACACACACACAGTGATCAGTGACTCGCGTTTCTACCATGCACGTAAATGTAAAACATTAACATTTTTATTGGGAGTTCTTGTTTCTTGTTTCTCTAAAGCCTACTTTGCCCCAGGTGTAAATATAATGTGCACGGCCTATCGAGTTGGGGTATTGAACACCACGGGGTAAATTAAATCAACATTTTGATTGACGAAATGTACCCATCGGAGGTAAATGTGTGCATGTTAACAGTTTCCCAGGGTGTTGATGTACCCGATATAACGTGATGTAGGTAACGATTAGGCGACGTTGGAATACTTCCCAGGGTGTTGATGTACCCGATATAACGTGATGTAGGTAACGATAAGGCGATGTCGGAATACTTCCCAGGGTGTTGATGTACCCGATATAACGTGATGTAGGTAACAATAAGGCGATGTCGGAATACTTCCCAGGGTGTTGATGTACCCGATATAACGTGATGTAGGTAACGATTAGGCGATGTCGGAATACTTCCCAGGGTGTTGATGTACCCGATATAACGTAATGTAGGTAACGATTAGGCGATGTCGGAATACTTCCCAGGGTGTTGATGTACCCGATATAACGTGATGTAGGTAACGATTAGGCGATGTCGGAATACTTCCCAGGGTGTTGATGTACCCGATATAACGTAATGTAGGTAACGATTAGGCGATGTCGGAATACTTCCAAGGGTGTTGATGTACAGGATATAACGTAATGTAGGTAACAATAAGGCGATGCCGGAATATTTCCCAGGGTGTTGATGTACCCGATATAACGTGATGTAGGTAACAATAAGGCGATGTCGGAATACTTCCCAGGGTGTTGATGTACCCGATATAACGTAATGTAGGTAACGATTAGGCGATGTCGGAATACTTCCAAGGGTGTTGATGTACCCGATATAACGTGATGTAGGTAACGATTAGGCGATGTCGGAATACTTCCCAGGGTGTTGATGTACCCGATATAACGTAATGTAGGTAACGATGACGTGATGTCGGAATACTTCCCAGGGTGTTGATGTACCCGATATAACGTAATGTAGGTAACGATTAGGCGATGTCGGAATACTTCCAAGGGTGTTGATGTACCCGATATAACGTGATGTAGGTAACGATTAGGCGATGTCGGAATACTTCCCAGGGTGTTGATGTACCCGATATAAAGTAATGTAGGTAACGATTAGGCGATGTCGGAATACTTCCAAGGGTGTTGATGTACAGGATATAACGTAATGTAGGTAACGATTAGGCGATGTCGGAATACTTCCCAGGGTGTTGATGTACCCGATATAACGTAATGTAGGTAACGATTAGGCGATGTCGGAATACTTCCAAGGGTGTTGATGTACAGGATATAACGTAATGTAGGTAACAATAAGGCGATGCCGGAATATTTCCCAGGGTGTTGATGTACCCGATATAACGTGATGTAGGTAACAATAAGGCGATGTCGGAATACTTCCCAGGGTGTTGATGTACCCGATATAACGTTAATGTAGGTAACGATTAGGCGATGTCGGAATACTTCCAAGGGTGTTGATGTACCCGATATAACGTGATGTAGGTAACGATTAGGCGATGTCGGAATACTTCCAAGGGTGTTGATGTACCCGATATAACGTGATGCAGGTAACGATTAGGCGATGTCGGAATACTTCCCAGGGTGTTGATGTACCCGATATAACGTAATGTAGGTAACGATTAGGCGATGTCGGAATACTTCCCAGGGTGTTGATGTACCCGATATAACGTGATGTAGGTAACGATTAGGCGATGTTGGAATACTTCCCAGGGTGTTGATGTACCCGATATAAAGTAATGTAGGTAACAATTAGGCGATGTCGGAATACTTCCCAGGGTGTTGATGTACCCGATATAACGTAATGTAGGTAACAATAAGGCGATGCCGGAATATTTCCCAGGGTGTTGATGTACCCGATATAACGTGATGTAGGTAACAATATAAGGCGATGTCGGAATACTTCCCAGGGTGTTGATGTACCCGATATAACGTAATGTAGGTAACGATTAGGCGATGTCGGAATGCTTCCAAGGGTGTTGATGTACCCGATATAACGTGATGTAGGTAACGATTAGGCGATGTCGGAATACTTCCCAGGGTGTTGATGTAACCGATATAACGTAATGTAGGTAACGATTAGGCGATGTCGGAATACTTCCAAGGGTGTTGATGTACCCGATATAACGTGATGCAGGTAACGATTAGGCGATGTCGGAATACTTCCAAGGGTGTTGATGTACCCGATATAACGTAATGTAGGTAACGATTAGGCGATGTCGGAATACTTCCAAGGGTGTTGATGTACCCGATATAACGTGATGTAGGTAACGATTAGGCGATGTCGGAATACTTCCCAGGGTGTTGATGTACCCGATATAAAGTAATGTAGGTAACAATTAGGCGATGTCGGAATACTTCCAAGGGTGTTGATGTACACGATATAACGTAATGTAGGTAACAATAAGGCGATGCCGGAATATTTCCCAGGGTGTTGATGTACACGATATAACGTAATGTAGGTAACAATAAGGCGATGTCGGAATACTTCCCAGGGTGTTGATGTACCCGATATAACGTGATGTAGGTAACGATAAGGCGATGTCGGAATACTTCCCAGGGTGTTGATGTACCCGATATAACGTGATGTAGGTAACAATAAGGCGATGTCGGAATACTTCCCAGGGTGTTGATGTACCCGATATAACGTGATGTAGGTAACGATAAGGCGATGTCGGAATACTTCCCAGGGTGTTGATGTACCCGATATAACGTGATGTAGGTAACGATAAGGCGACGTTGGAATACTTCCCAGGGTGTTGATGTACCCGATATAACGTGATGTAGGTAACAATAAGGCGATGTCGGAATACTTCCCAGGGTGTTGATGTACCCGATATAACGTGATGTAGGTAACAATAAGGCGATGTCGGAATACTTCCCAGGGTGTTGATGTACCCGATATAACGTGATGTAGGTAACAATAAGGCGATGCGGAATACTTCCCAGGGTGTTGATGTACCCGATATAACGTAATGTAGGTAACGATTAGGCGATGTCGGAATACTTCCAAGGGTGTTGATGTACCCGATATAACGTGATGTAGGTAACGATTAGGCGATGTCGGAATACTTCCCAGGGTGTTGATGTACCCGATATAACGTAATGTAGGTAACGATTAGGCGATGTCGGAATACTTCCCAGGGTGTTGATGTACACGATATAACGTAATGTAGGTAACAATAAGGCGATGCCGGAATATTTCCCAGGGTGTTGATGTACCCGATATAACGTGATGTAGGTAACAATAAGGCGATGTCGGAATACTTCCCAGGGTGTTGATGTACCCGATATAACGTAATGTAGGTAACGATTAGGCGATGTCGGAATACTTCCCAGGGTGTTGATGTACCCGATATAAAGTAATGTAGGTAACGATTAGGCGATGTCGGAATACTTCCAAGGGTGTTGATGTACAGGATATAACGTAATGTAGGTAACAATAAGGCGATGCCGGAATATTTCCCAGGGTGTTGATGTACCCGATATAACGTGATGTAGGTAACAATATGGCGATGTCGGAATACTTCCCAGGGTGTTGATGTACCCGATATAACGTAATGTAGGTAACGATTAGGCGATATCGGAATACTTCCAAGGGTGTTGATGTACCCGATATAACGTGATGTAGGTAACGATTAGGCGATGTCGGAATACTTCCCAGGGTGTTGATGTACCCGATATAACGTAATGTAGGTAACGATTAGGCGATGTCGGAATACTTCCAAGGGTGTTGATGTACACGATATAACGTAATGTAGGTAACAATAAGGCGATGCCGGAATATTTCCCAGGGTGTTGATGTACCCGATATAACGTGATGTAGGTAACAATAAGGCGATGTCGGAATACTTCCCAGGGTGTTGATGTACCCGATATAACGTGATGTAGGTAACAATAAGGCGATGTCGGAATACTTCCCAGGGTGTTGATGTACCCGATATAACGTAATGTAGGTAACGATTAGGCGATGTCGGAATACTTCCAAGGGTGTTGATGTACCCGATATAACGTGATGTAGGTAACGATTAGGCGATGTCGGAATACTTCCCAGGGTGTTGATGTACCCGATATAACGTGATGTAGGTAACGATTACGCGATGTCGGAATACTTCCCAGGGTGTTGATGTACCCGATATAACGTAATGTAGGTAACGATTAGGCGATGTCGGAATACTTCCAAGGGTGTTGATGTACCCGATATAACGTGATGTAGGTAACGATTAGGCGATGTCGGAATACTTCCCAGGGTGTTGATGTACCCGATATAAAGTAATGTAGGTAACGATTAGGCGATGTCGGAATACTTCCAAGGGTGTTGATGTACAGG